AAGGAAAGATAAACCTACGCAAACCACTATTGGGGGATGGAATATTTCCCGTTTGAACAAGGATATCCTGAGCAGACATCTTACCAATATCGAAGTTATTGGTACTCAAAATGCAGAAATATCTATGCAGAATGCAGAGGCCTTGGTGGAGAACACAATGCAGCAAATTATTAACTGCTGCGACGCCGCCATGCCTAGAAGATCTGCCAAATGTTTCAGGAGACAGGTTTATTGGTGGAATAACGAGATCGCAGAACTTCGTAAAAGAACTCTGCAGCTACGACGCATTGTACAAAGGGCTAAGAGAAGGGACCAACGAGATGTAGCCATGGAGCAACAATTCAAGGAAGCCAAAAGGCAACTGAGAATAGCGATTCGTGCTAGTAAGAAGGCATGCTGGAAAAGTCTCTGTAATGACGTAGACCAGGACGTATGGGGACTAGGCTACAAGATAGTGATGCGACGTCTTGGACAGCAGAGACCTGTTGGCCCATTTGAGCTGGAAAGAATGAAGGAAATCGTAACCACTTTGTTCCCTGAACACCCGGACAAACCCATTAAGGAATTTCAAGTCCACGAAACCTTTGATCTTTTCACTGAAGAGGAATTGAGAGCCGTCGCTAGCGTAGCGAAAGTCAGGAAGTCCCCGGGACCCGACTGTATCCCGATAGAGATTATCAAAGCTATAGCGCTGGAACACCCAACTATTCTGCTGAATATGTACAACACTTGCCTCCAAGCAGGTATCTTTCCAACAAGATGGAAGGTACAGAGGCTAGTACTGCTAGACAAGGGAAAGGGTCTACCCATAACACCGTCTTCGTTTAGACCACTATGTATGCTGGACGATGCGGGCAAAATGTTTGAAAAGCTTATTCGACAGAGACTACGTGATGCAATCGAAGACGCTGGAGGATTATCCGCCCATCAACATGGATTCCGACCGCGCCATTCAACAGTAGGAGCACTGCGTGAGGTGGTGGAACAAGCGTACACGGCCTGGCGAGGAAATCACCGCAGTCGCAGTATCTGTGTTCTGATCACCTTTGACGTGAAAAACGCCTTCAACTCAGCAAGGTGGGTCGACATCATGAATGCCCTTGAAGAGCGCTTCAAGATCCCGGCATACCTACTACGGGTGATTAACGACTACCTCTCCAACAGAAGTCTGACTTACGAAACCCTAGAAGGTCAGCAGGTTCAGAAAGTCACTGCCGGTGTAGCCCAGGGTTCTGCGCTTGGGCCTGACCTATGGAATGCGATGTACGATGGGATCCTAAGAATCGAGCTACCGAAATGTGTCCAACTAGTGGGGTTCGCTGACGATATCGTTGCCGTGGTAACTGCCAGGGACATGGAGACTGCGCGCCTAGAAACCGAGTTTGCAGCGCACTCGGTGCACTTTTGGATGAAACAACACGGCTTACAAATGGCTGCAGACAAGACCAAAGTGACCGTGCTTACCAGACAAAGACTACATTCCCTGCCCCTGGTGCTAAACTTTTCGGGAGTCACCATCACCTCTCATGAAACGGTGAAGTATTTGGGAATATGGTTGGACCAAAAACTGACATTCAAGCAACATCTCACAGAAGTGGCAAACAGAGCCACAAAAGTTGTGACCGCGCTATCTAGGATTATGCCAAACGTCGATGGTCCTAGAGCAGATAAGAGGCGGGTACTGATGAACGTCGCCAATTCAATGATGCTGTACGGAGCGGAAATCTGGGCTAACGCAATGACAATCGAAAACTACAGAAGAAGACTCGCATCAGTTCAGAGAACAGCAGCTCTGCGAATATCGTCAGCGTATCGCACTGTCGCTGAGGGGGCCATTTTGGTAGTGGCAGGCGCCATACCGATTGATCTTTTGGCACTGGAACGTCAAAGGTTGTACGACACCAGTGAAATACCAAAACCTTTCACTGCAGTCAGGCAACGGACCCTGCGTGAGTGGCAGGCAAGATGGGAGAACGATCCTAAGGGCTCCTGGACGCACACACTTATTCAGCAGGTTGGTACTGTAGGAGGCATGGGGATGTAAACTTCTACATCACTCAGTTTCTTACAGGACACGGGAACTTCAACCGATACCTGAACCTGCGTACCATTAAGGATAGTCCCTACTGTCGCTATTGCCAGACGGACATCGATTCAGCCGAACACACCTTCTTCGACTGTAGGAGATGGGCTGTACTGAGGAGACGGTTGGAACAACAAATAGGATTAACCTTCACACCTGAGTCGGCGGTGCCCACGATGCTTGCCAGCGAGAATCACTGGCATATGATCTCATCTTTCGTGGAGGAACTACTAAAACTGAAGAAGGCAGACGATGGAGTACAAACATCCCCGAACTCCTAATCCGGCAGGTCCGGGATGGGAGATGTAGGGTGCGATTGGACGACTACTACGAGGACAACTGAAGAACAAGACGATGAAGACAAGACAGCCTGCGTGCGTGAAGTTATGCCATCTTGGCGGTTCCAGCACAAAGGCGGTTCGTAGACCCACTCGCTCCAGGTTGCGGCCTGGCGACGGTCCTATAAAAAAAAAAAAAAAAAAAAGTCTCCAATTTACGGGTACTTAACGTAGGATCTACATAAACTTGTCTTAAAACCCCCACTTCTATTGCTTCGTTTCTTATGGGATTTTCAATGTTGCGTTTTTTATTGTCCACTGACCCGGTTTTCCGAAATTTAGCTACAAGTTCTAGAGCATATTTTCGATGCACGTTACTGTTCTCATGTCGCTCATTAAATATTTCTGTTGTTCTATTAGCGCACTGATTATTTCCGAAAAATATTTCGATAATTTCAACTCTTTCTGCTGTGGAATATACCATGGTTAAGTTATGTAATAAAGCGTTACAAGTTATTTTAGCAACAAAGTTTGGTCAAATCAATCGCAAACTATGTACTAAATTCCTATTTAAAATAAGTACGAGATATTTCCTTATCTTTCTTCAAGAAATAACTTTTTGCCACAAAAAAACGCTCCAATAGCTATTTTCAACAACAAAATGATAAACAAACCATGGGCGTAGTGAAGACAAGCATTTACTTATTAAGTAAATTCTTTTAGTCAAATGTCTTCTGAAAGTAGTACAAACTAATCTGATGTACCTATTAAAGTCTACTTTAAGCTTTAAATCAATAAATCTTCAAAACTACTGAACTGAAGCTCATGTATTTTAATCATTATAAAGGGAATTGAAAGACCTTTAAAATAAGGTATCACTCGACCCCCCTTTCCATTTAAGATTTTAGGGTTGGTGTCACCCCCACCCAGGGGGCTGCACGTGTTAACGTGATTTTTTGCCAAACTTGTGTCCCCCTCGAAAATAAAATCGACGGGTGTGAGCGTTTTTCCAAAAAAAACTGAGCTGCCAGTAAAGGCGTCTGTTTCGTTTTCGATGCGCCACCCTGTATTATATAATTAGGCAGGTCAATGAAATGATCTACAATAACCGATAATTCGGCATTTAGGTTTTGCCTTCATGGCTGCTTCAGTATAAGGAGATGTCTGTTTAATGTACGTAGAAAAAAGACAATTATTAACTTATAAGCTAAGGAGGATCACGAAATACAGGGTGTTTTTAAAGTTGAGTCATTTATTTTAACTGCTTGTAGGACTCCTCAAAAGTAGTTGATATACCAAAAATGACCTATATAAAAGTTGCATAATAAAAGAAATAGTAAAAGATTAAACATTGTAAAAAATAAGAATGTTATTACACAGATTTTTTCATATTCTCGACTACTGCCGTGTAAAATCTTGGCGTTTTTTGTTTACTACTCTTATCGTTTATCTAAATTTGGCATACTTTTCGTGTTATTGTATAGTGTTCAGTACGAGTGTGCAAAAAAATGGCCCATGTTTACGAAAACAACGGACTAGTAGCCATAATACTAACATGCAGAGTGCCAGCAAAATGCAGCCGCAGCATGCAGGTTGTATGCGGAAAGGTTTTCTTTATGAAATCATCCGGCCGCACGGATGATTGTAAATTTAGTTATTCGACTTCTTGACACAGGGTATTCAAAATAACAACAAGGAGGTCACGCTGGAAGACCTGCTCAACCTGAAATGTTACAAATTGAGGCAGGCGTTTTAGAAATGGTCGAAGACGACCCAACAATGAGTACTAGAGCCATAGCAGCTCAAGTGGAAGTTTCTCATAGTAATTAGTATTAGAGGATGTTCCTCTAAATGTGAGACAGAATATGTGGTTCCTACACGATGGAGCTCCACCACATTTTAGATGATAAGTTCATGAACATCTAAATAATGAGTTTCCGAATAGATGGATAGCGCGCAATGGACCCATTTCTTGGCCTGCTCGCTCCCCTTGTGATTTTTTTCTGTGGGGCTATTTGAAAGTGTTGGTGTATCATGGTGGAGCAGTAAATGCTTGTGATTTAATTCGTTGACACCAGGATTTTATTTTCGAAGCTTGTAAAGAGTCATGGATTTGCCGGACAAAATTTTGCGTTAATCGAAGAAATGGAGACAATTTTTGTATGACCGGTATTCATTTAACTTGATAATAATTTTGTTAAATAATTTTTAATTATGTAAAATAACTCTCTTATTATGCAACTTTTATATAGGTGATTTTTGGTATATCAACTTCTTTGGACGAGTTTTACAAACTGATAAAATGAATGACTCATCTTTGAATGAATGAACGAATGAATAAATGACACAACCAATAGCGAACAACTGTTTATTTATACAGATCTTCAATGTTCTTATTTTTGCATAATATATCAGAGAATGAAAACACCCAAACCCACCTAGTATAATTAGTTTTTCAAAGCTTAGTCTCTAGTCGGATAGTTCAAGGGCGCCCCTGATGTTTGGTACAGCGGCCTAGTCTGTCCACTATATAACGACGTTGAGGGTGCTTGCTGATACTGTGGCTGACTACGAACTGGGTAACCTGCTGTTATACTGCCACCTTGAATTAAAAAAATGACGTCATGTAGATTGACTCTATACTTTTCATGCAGTTATGTCATCAATTAGATTAAATTAGCTTATTTCCTAATCTAACGCCATATGAGGTTCGGATATGTCATGTTTTTAAAATTGATCAGGATCTGTCATATATTACAAAAAAAAACTCATTGTTGAATTACAGTAAATAGGCATTTTTTGTGTTGTAAGCGATAATAATGCACTGAGTAGTATAGCAATGGCGCACTTTTCTCCAGTTAAGCCCAGAATTGTTTATGCACATGTATTGGACAAAAAAAAACTTTCAGGCGCACACCTAATGGACGAAATATTTGTGAAAATACTTACGAATACTTAAATCTTTTGCACAAAGTTGCCTTTTTATTCCAAAACACGTTTTTGAATTATTTATACGTCGTTTCCAGCAGGAAGAGTATGTTAAAATATGAAAATAATATGCAACATAACTTATGTATTCACTTTTGCTGATATACGGTATGTTGGCCGCTCGACCGGCCTACTTCTGATGACGTCATGCGGCTGTTGTTTTCGAAAGTAACGTCTTTATCCATCTCCTTCAAGGCCGTTATTGATGTTTCCGTCACCCAACCCCCTGAAGATTGGACTATATCGTATTGTAACATCTTACCTTTCGGCTGACCTTGTTGACCGCCGCTCATACCCATCACATGCCCTCCAATGTGCTGTTGCTGTGGATGCTGGGGCGGCTGTTGCTGCTGTGGCGCTTGTTGAGAGGCTCTGATGTTGACATAATGGTCGGCCATCAACTGCTTGGGTTCCAAATGGTAGGGCGGTTGATTTGGCTGGGGTCTTGGCGGATCACCGTACACCCTGCCTGGAGGTGGCTCACGAGACAGCGGATAATAGATTGGCAGATCTTGTGGAGAAGGCACCGGATAGAATGCTGATGGTTGGCTGGCGTATTGTGGGGTTTCTGTCGAGTTGCAAAGTGTTCCATTTAGTAATAGCCCGTATTAGTGAAATACAATATCAAATTATATTTTACAATTTAGAAGGAAGGAGTTGTTCATTAGCGTCCATTTATGCAGGTGACTTTCGTTTGTGCCACTCGAAAATGTTCGTCAAGGGATGTTTCTCTCTAATCGCGCCGTTGAACATTGTTGAACGATGTTGTTGCGCGAACCAAATCATATGAATAACCGGGGCGCTTACGGTAAAAAATTAGACCAATAAGTAGGCGTCTTAGTAGTAGCGAAGTAATGGATCTAATGAATTTGGTCGATTTCTTGTAAGGTGTCTTTCAAACTAAAGAAAAATTATTCGATTTGTGTAAGATGGGCCCCTAATTCAAATATTAAAACAAAAATGCTTCATAAATCACCTGGTTTATCTACAAAAACCTTTCATTTCTGTGGGGATTCAAATTTCATCAATCGAACAAGGATCCGTGGCCTACTTGAAACCTGGATCAAACCTGATGTAATAGATTGACATGACGCCATTACAAAGCATTTTATTGAAAATAACAGTGACTCACTGTTGCTGTTGTACAAAATTCTGCTTAATAAATTATTTGAAGACATAAATATAATTACAGATTGCTTATTGTGTAACATCTAGTAAATAATCAATTTACTTACTGTTAACTGTCAACAGATATCGCGCACTCTACAGGACGGTAGGATAACGACACGACTAGGAGCCCATCATACACAAATTGTATGATTTTTCTTTAGTTTGAAAGACATTTTACAAGAAATCGATCAAATTTATTAGATCCATTACTTCAAAGATGCGTTCTTATTCTTTGAATTTGTGATCTAGGTGCTTCTTTGCGCCCCGTCCGAGTAAAATCGGGCCTTAGTGCGACTAAATACAAATTCCAGGACGAATTACAAACCAATCTAAAAGCCAAAATCATTTAAAGGACCAAACCGTAACGACAGCTCTCCGATTTATGTAGGTATTGAAATATAATTTGAGATCTATGTGTTATCATTAAGCCAGAATTCCAGATTGAATTGAAAATGAGGTAAACCGTCAAAAAAATTCCATCCAGTGTTAGTTTGACTCGCCCATGCCTAAGACTTGCTAACCCAAACGTATAGTTATTACAACAGAGAACTTGCTCAATAAATTAAAACAAGCAGATTCAGCTAAGATTCTAAAATACAACCCTCTTGCCAATAGTGATAGTCAGACCGAGCCGGAAACTTTAAATGACTTGAAATTGAGCTCACAGGCTGACAAAAATAGGTGAGACTATGTGAGACGTCAAAATAAAAGTATCATTTTACGGAGGTTGCCAGGCATACCCAATGTTAATGAGTTAACTGATTTCGTTCCTTATGTACTAGACAGATTATCATCCTGCTTTTCGATGAACTATAGTGCAGTTTAAAAAATCCGTGTTATTTAAAGGCAATGAATCATTCGGTATTTTAAGAGTTTTTTCCGGAAATGCATTCGAACAGTTGGCCAACATTACCCGAATTTGAAGAATAGACCATTTATAAATACACATTTCAATGCAATAAAAAAATATGGGCAAGTTCCCTATTGTTCTGCTTGAATGGAATTTTGATCATGAGGTGTAGTGTGTATAATGTATTGAACACAATACAACTCACAATGACACCTTTGGTTTGCCATAAGTCACGTTCAAGGCATACGCAATAAGTTTGCAAGAATCCAACATTTGCTGGTTCTCCAAAGTCGATCTGCGACTATGACGTCACTTGCAATGCCTATGCTATTGTCAATAATGTCATTTTCCCAGAGTGACTTTAAAACGCAATGCAGATTCAAAAAGCTGTTCAAGGCTCCGATATCATTTGAACAATGTAACAATAATATGTAATTTTATATACCAACACAGTTAAGAGCTAGTTTAATTGCACGAGACCTCATCACAGCAATTAAGCAGGAAATGGAAATGAGGGTAGATGCCGTAGATGGTTAACAAAAAAAAAAGGAAAGTGAATATGCATTGTTTCACCACACTGCCACCTCAACGGGTTAGATATAAAGTGTTGAGCTGTGTCAATACTTGTTTCACTAATTCGCAGGGTATTTACACAGAACGCATCACAAAACCAATCATTTAGAACTAAAATCTCGATGGTTGCGATCACATGTATACAGGCTGTCATCAAAGTTGGGACCTTCCTTTACAGAGCGGACAGGTTAGGCACAAATAAGCATGTTTTTAGTAACATTTATACCAAAGCTTTAAGATAACCGAGATATTAAGTTTCCAAAAAACAATAAATAAGCCAGTACGACCCAGCCACCCTCCCTCAATCCTCTCCTACGTCAAAACAAATGATGTATGTACTAAGGCTATGTGAGTCAGTATCCAAATCAGGCGTCGCGCGGTGTTTAGGTTGACCCTGTTTATAAACAAACCGCATTTGAAAAACCGAAATTGTCACATTCCTAGAGCAATAACGTAGTTATCGATTTGATATGAACATCTCCAAGGTCCTCTTGATACTCCGCGGGTGTACCTAGAACGTCGCCATTGTCCTCAATGTTTCTTTCCATCAGAGCTGCATATGATTGTTTAAAAGGCAAAAGCCGTGTGGTTGAACACGGTTGAAGATCTAAGCAGCCCTAAATGTTGCAAATTTAGAAAGAGGTAAGCAAACCAGTGCTTTTGAATCGAACAGCGACAACTTCAAGCAGTGTTGACAAATAAAACAATAACCAAATGAATACTGAGTATTTTCTTTTTTACGTGTTCAGTGTTGTTTTGCCGCAAATTAGCTTTGGTATTACAAACGCACCTGACTCTGAAAAGGAAAGTCCCAACTTTCACCCTGTATATTGATTTTATTGCCACAAAAATTATTTAGCTTGATAACATCATATATAGTGAGACACTCATGCATCTAGATTTTTTATTATATCGGTTTTGAAAAACCTCTGTTAACGTTTTAAATTATGCATTAAATTAAATGATCTTTCATGCTGACGTCAAATAGTCAATTTATTGTTTCAACTATTAATTATTATTTCCATATCCTGGCGCCACAATTGGTTATACGCGGTAACTTTTCTAAAGAAATAAATGAAATACAGTTTTTAATCTATGACAAACAAAGTGTTGGTTTTAACATCAGTAAATTATACATTTACCAAATGGAAAGGTCACGTTGTGTTTATCATATCAAGACTGGAACAGGCTTGTAAGAAACTATTACGTATACAATTACCAAAAGCTGAAAATGCACCAACGTGTCTTTTCATAGTACTTATGTTTCAATAAGATATTAAACCTAATATAAACAACGAAACAATCTGGATTCTGTATATATTCCAGATCTTGTCATGATTATATTTTTCAGCTGACCACAGCCAATCTTATTAGATTGCTGTTAAAATGAATGACAGTGTCATGATTTATACAGGGTGTCCGCAAAGCTTTGAATTTCGTTTACATGATGTATAGATCTAGATAAAATAAGCGGCTTTTCCTTGTAGTATATACACCAGTCATAAGATAACCGAGATATTAGGCTACGCAAAATGAATCCAACCTAAACAGAACCTAATCCGGTTTCGTACCTCGATCAAATCACACGTTAAGACGTGACGTACGTTGTGTATCAGTACTCAATTCAGGCGCTAGCCGCGTTTTCAAACAAAAAATCGTCACAGCAATATCGGAGTTGTCCATATTATTTTAATTTACGATGCCCTAGAAATGCTAGCGAGGCTTCGCGAGTGTATGCAGATCGTTTTTAAGTTCCTTCGTGATTTCTTTTTTGTTTAGGGCGAAATGATATGTTTAGTGTATAAAACTGAGTTGAACACGGTTGACGAACTACGTGTGCGAATTTGGCGATTTGCTACATTCATTCGTGAAAGACAATTCATTCTAAAAGCCTACTGTCTCTGTCAATCTATTGCAGATAACTTTAAAAATATTTACATGTGACAAAGCTGTACTTGAAATTTCTCTTCAATAAACGGTAACTACTTTTTCAACAAAAAATATTGTTCTTTCTCCATACATTAGCTTTTTTATAACAAATGTAGTTGTTGCAGGAAAGGAAAATCCCAACTTTCAGGACACCCTGTATAAGCAGGCAAATAATATAAAAACATCTATCACCCAACGAATTTTAATATAAAAAGAAGGCGAAAAAGTATTTCTAGCTTAAAGCACATATAGTGATGTGGAAACACTCACTGTTCCATAGTACAGCTCGCACAAGTTCATTACGTCTGCCATCATCTTCTGTAAATAAAGAAATGATGCATGTTTACTACCATTATTTCAAGCTCAGCTATTCATTATGTAGCACTTATTCACACACTTCCATTGGAAATGTTTGATATTACAGATTAAAACATTACTACGACATGGTTTTACCACTCGCCGAACAGATTTATTAAACATCCAACACTTATTTTGCCAAGTATGTTAGCAAAACCCAAACAGGTAAAAGTAGGTCAAGTACTGATGTTTGCAAATTATACATCTGTATCTGTGTAAGGGGAATCCCCAAAAGAGTTTAAAGGGAAAATAAACAGCGTTATGTCTGGGATGGAGTCTTGGTGCAAAAATTAAATAACGACAAAACAACATTTATATTTTTTTATTAAAAAGCCATTACCAGACCATATTTTTAATGACAGTGAGATATACCTATTTCCAATCCTGTGCACAGCTATTGCCATAGATCATGTCTGCAAAAAACAGAGCAAGGAGTATCTTGCTATTTTCAATATGAAACCGCTCCTAAGCATTTAAGCCTATACTATGCATTTGCTTTTTAGCCATTTGTCATTTAATATTGCCACTTGGGGAGTGTCTACTATATTAAAAGAGTATTTTTAGCTCAAATGAAAATCATTAGGTTCATTTTTGGTTTAAACTATACTAAGTCATGTAGGCAAACATCACTTTACATATTGAAATGTGTAATATTTGTGAAAAGCGACCCTTATAGTTTTACGGTATTTTTCACGAGTATCCATCACGGCAGACTATAGCCGATTATCTAGTGATATTTCAAAACTTCCCATAATGACAAGTGACACACAAGTAATGCCGAGAGATCCGTCAACGCCAGGTAGACAGATCCGTATTTTGTTATGGTTTTTGTACGCAATATAGACATTTTGTCCTTGCTAACAACTCTTTCATTTAGAAAAGTTTATTTGCATATAAAAAACGCTACAAGCAAAATGGCTACTAATGCTACATGCTACAGCTTCTGGAAAGGACAACCCAACCTATTCTATTGACTTACATCGTAATCAATAAATCCCAGATGTAATATAATATCTTCCTAATAAACATTTTTATATTTGAACTTCGTACATTTTACTCTCACATTTTCGTCACTTAAAAGCATAATCCAGTTATGTGAACAACAGCTCTAAATACGGTCTTTAAATGCATTATTGCCAACGTTGCAGACTAATACAAAGATGTCGCTTTTGTGATCAGCTGTTCACCTCAGTAGACGTCAAGACGTAATGGATACTCGTGAAAAATACCATACTCTCCTTGGAAGCAACCACAACTATACGATACGCAGAATGCTTTTAAGTTTTCTTGGGCATCAAACAACAGCATATGAAAGTATCTGTATTTTATAACTGCATCCACATATTCAACAATTTACCAAAATATCTAACGAATATTAAAAATTATGATTTTAAGCACAAAGTAATGAAATTTCTATGCCAGAGCTGCTTTTATAGTGCACAAGGGTTTGTATCTTACAAATTTTAAATTGTCATTATCATGTGTAGGTCTTACTTTTTTTAATTGTAATTTTTAATATATCTTGTCACATGTATGAATTTACTAAACTGTGATCAATAAATGTCTATCTACCATCTTCAGGGGAAGATCAAAGTTTTATTCTTACCATCTTCAGACGTTGACAGCAAAACACGTGTCGGGTGTTTAATAAACTGGTTTGGCGAGTGGAAACTCTGTTGTAGTAATATTTGCTACGCCAGAGGATCCAACGTCACATACGTTCAGATTAAATCATGTTTTATTGTCAACTACAAGTCAATATAGATGACGTAGCCTCATTGGGTGCATTCAGGAAACTGCAACGCTCAACGACTTTATAATTAGATGTCGAATCAATTGAGATATGAAGCGATACAATAATGCAGATCTATTTACAGGGTAAAAAGTATCTTTACAATGCTATGGGACAATAGCTGCAGGATATCAAGTTCGAGAACAGTTTCCTGTTGAACTCGAATTCAGTTTCTGAGCATCATTTTATATCGCAAATCAGTCACGAACTGTCATGAAAAATCAAACACTTCGTGACTCGTCATTCGGTTTGGCAGAATTTACAAGTTGTGCTAGCAATAAAATTCGGATCCGAACAATATCGTTCATTCCAAGCAATAGACGAGTTGACACTTTTTTAAATATGTCTTAAATAGTTACTATTATTTGTTCTATTAAATTAAAAAAAATATTACATTCTTTTCAGACCTTAGAGACCGTAAAACTTCAATTTAAAAATACATTTTTTTAGACAGTCAAAAACGCTATTCGCCATGTTTGGCCCATATTACTGTGTTCTGACGTGATACCACTTTTAAACAGCATCCGACAGCAACATAACCCCTCAACTTTCAAACATATAAACTTTACTTCTACTAGTTTACATGGAAAATGTAAGTATAGTTATTGTATCGTCCAAGAATGTAAAAACACATCAATAAAGACCCCAGGAAAGCTGTGGATTAGAGTGACCATGGAAATAAATATTCGTAACACTGTGTATTGCTTGGAGCATACCTTATGTTTAGGACATATTTTACACTTTAATGTGCAGATTTTGTCGTCTCGTTTAAGTTGGACGTAGCTTACGGTATCATCATAGTACGATTCCTCAGCTGAGTAAAGCAGAAATCTGAGTTGAAGGCAAAAAAATTACCAAGTATCAATGCGTCAATTTTCGGTAAATTTGTGCTTTCTGCTTTACAACGACCAACGTCCATGATTGTTTTTTTCAGTAAAACGAAAAGACAATTGTTTCCGTTGCTAACGAGTTTTTTTAGAAATATCTAAACAAATCAGCGTTAGTCCACGAGTGACATATGGATGACGTTACATCATGGCCGATAGTGATTTCATCGTTTCTTATTAAAAATAAAATATATATTTGTTTAGATTGGATTTATACGAGTATATCCATCTTGCGGTTTTAAAAGCTGGAATTGATTTATTTCGTTTTCCTAAGCCAAATACTGTAAGAAATACTCATTTATTCTAGAAAATTTAGTTTACCTCAATAAGCGCAGGCGTTGCACCGATCTAACCCAGATTTATGAATCGGAATCGAAACCTCCGAAAAATATTCCTCCCATCCCTACTGCAGGATCGTTCTATCGGAACCTCTCGTTTATGACCGAAGCAGTTCTATTCCACAGTGTTCTTCCGCGTATGCCTCGTCAAAAATTCCTCCAATATGGCTACATCCCATAAGCCTAGCAGTTTGACAATTCTGAAATAACGTGTCGTTACCGTTCGGTCCAGCGATACGTTCCCGGGGTGGGCCAATAATAAAGGACGCCAGCTGAATCTAGGCAACAACTCATCTTAGACTTATTGGTCGATGAAATTCTAAACAAAAGTACCCAAGAGAAATTACTGGAAATTATTTTCAGCTTCCTAAAATGGCAATTTGTTCCATTAATATACAGCGTGTTTTCAAAGTTAATGTTTTGAGAATAACTTAGCTTCAATACGTATAGTTCATTTCCCCCTTATTGGTGGTTACGTCATCAATGCCTCAATAAATAAGTAAAAAAACTTACTAACCGTTTGATGGGTGTACCTTACTTTTCCTAACGTATGGAAAATGCACACAGCTGCTACTTGTATTTCCATTACATTATGACGAAGATTAGCAAGAATTAAACTGAAATCGCACGCCGATGCCAAGAGAAGTCACACTGACAGTGTCCAGCATAGTTACAGAATAATAATTAAAGAGAAATTTCAGTCCAAGATTCAAATATTCCGTAACTACAATACTTTTCGAGTCCCGCTTTAAGTAAATAGTGAGCATAATGTTCGTTAAAATTGTAAAATTTAATATTTTGCAGTAATAGCTCTCAAATTGCAAACAGATCTGCATTATTTATTTCATACTACGGTGGTCATATTTACACCGTAGGAGTTACGTCTAACGCTTTTATAGCACACATTCCCCGTTCTAAGCACTCATTAATGCACACTATTTAAGTCGCGTGACAGTGTCAACAATCCTCCATGTGACCCTATCTGACTTTATTGTCAAACCAGCGTTTAGATAACAATCGGCTATGAAACTCATTTCGCCAAATCGCTGAAAAGTTCTCCAAGTTCAACGATGTTGCCGCGTAACACGCCAGCGCCCGCAGATATTCTTTGCAATCGTAAAAATTATAATATTCCAATATCATCTAGTGTCATTAGTGTGAGCCAATAATAAAAAGAAGCATGTCTGGCCAAAAAGAAGCGATGGAGTGTGATGAAGATGTATCATTACTCACGCGAACAAGTATAGTTTTACTGATGAATAATGTATCTTGAAGTTTCATTTAAATGTTCACGTGTCCTCAGAATAAAATCTGGGATTCTATTTTTTTCACCAAATTAGCATTATTTCAAATAAATGATTCTGCTGTAAATTGTGAAGCGGCAAAGAAACGTATTGGATATATCAAGCAAGACACGCATCTATAACCTGCGACAATGTTTTAATTGCAATACTTTACAAACCTTACATTACGGAACCCTGTTTGGGAAGTTACTGTCAGAAAATATGGGATATGATGTTTTGTCAATTTTTATCTGCAATAGTTACTGACTTAGAGGCTGTCAAAGTTGTGTGCTTTTCGGACAAAATATACTAAGTGACATATAAATCCGAACACCCAGTTTAAATGGTTTTATTTTAATAAAATTTTGTATAAGTACTTAATGAAGCATAATAAGTAAATGACAAAAATTTCAAAATAATTGCACTGCTTTAAAGTCCTTTGACCTTTAATAATGGGTGGATGCACCCTGATGTGCTACGCATTCTCCAACGCGCCTAGGCATGCTTCTGATCAGGTGGCCAATGTCCTCCTGTGGTACCTGATTCCAGGCAACCACCAACTCCTCTCGAAGTGCTTCTAGAGTCTGAGGAGGACGTTGCAAATTGACCAATCTCCTACCCATCATATCCCACACGTGCTCAATTGGGGATAAGTCGGGAGATCTTGGTGGCCATGGTAACAATGTGACATCATTATGCTGAAAGAAGTCTATTGTGACTCTTGCAACATGTGGTCGGGCATTATCTTGTTGGAAAGTTGGATCTGCCAGGGTGTCAAGATAGTGTAAAAGATGGGGTTCTAGAACTTCGTGGATATAACGCTGCGCGTTCATGTTACCTCTGATGAAGATTAAAGGTGACCTGGAACCATAAGCTATAGCACCCCAAACCATAACTCCAACAGTGTGATGAACATGTCTTTCAACAAAAAACTGTGGATTTTTCCTTTCACCACGTCGCCTTCTAACCCTGGCACGACCATCGTGCATGCCTAAACAAAATCGAGACTCGTCACTAAAGACAATACTGTTCCATTCCTGATCCCAGAGTGACCGTTGTCTGCACCACTCAAGGCGATTACGTCGGTGTTCTCGAGTTAAAGGGAGGACCCAGTGTGGCCGGTATGAAAACAAGCCAAAACTTCTCATTCATCGGTAAACACTTCGCATGCCAATAGGTCTTCCGTGTTCTGCAAACCATTCATTTGCAATGGACCTGGTAGTGGAGAAACGGTCCCTTAAGGCCAATAATCTTAGGCGGCGATCTTCACGGTCTGTTGTTCTACGGCGGCGTCCAGTGCCCCTTGCTCTTTGCGTACGGCCTTCTCGAAGCCATGCCTGACAACACCTAACCACAGTGTCTACACTTCTGTGCACTCTAACTGCAATTGCCCGAAAAGAAAGTCCAGCTTCCCGAAGTCCCACTATACGGCCCCTATCAAACTCACTAAGTTGACGAAATCGTACAAGTCTCCGTACTCTAGACATCGTAACCCATCGTAAAGGATGTCAAGAACCAAAATCCGCCAACGTTGATTCTTTACTGCGGCTGAAATATTCATTTTTAGAGCGTTAGTGAATTAAAAAAAACCAGTATAAAAACCGGAATGTCCAACTGATAAGGCTGAAAATTTTTTCACTTGTTATTTACATTAAGATAAATACATTCATCAACTTTTATTAAAATAAAACCATTTAAACTGGGTGTTCGGATTCATATGTCACTTAGTATATCTCGTAGCTGCAGAAGTAGCGGTCCAAACTCTATGCCTATATCAATCCTTTTCTTATGAATAGGCATCTCAAAATATACAAAAATGTATGTTTGTGCTGACACCTAGTTATGAATTACCTGAAGAGAGCGGCATATTTCCAAGTGAGGAGCGTATGAAACTGGCCCTGTCTGAAAAGCATCCTAGTCGGGAAGCCGCGCGGGTATTACGTATCTTGAAAAGTGACATTATGTCGAATTGTCTTGCCATTATACTGTTTTTTTCTGTGACATTATGTAGGTTTTTCTACAAGATGTTACCTTAGCACTAGCTGATGGACACGTTGTGAACTCGTTTTGTAGTAAGTGTTGCCTAAACGTCACGAGGTGCATAAATCGCGAGCTTCTGGACTACCTCGAACGTCACTGCGTGATTAGCGACAGGTAGTATGTTTTCCGGCACCAGCGATCCACAGGGGACCTCCTAGCTTACGTCACGCAATTGTGGAGTAAACTCATCCAGCTTTGCAGTGACAATCCGATCTTCGCTGAGCTGGAAAAAAGAAGGCTAGCGACGACTTCCTCTCTGACGAGAGACCTGGAGATTATCACTGCTTGGGGACGCAACAGTCTTGTACAGTTTAATACTTCCAAAGCACAGTAATGTACCTTGACGAACAAAAGGCGTCCTAGCGCTCATCCCGTTTCGATGGATGACCGAGTTCTGCCGAAGAGCCGTTCACTTCGGCTGGTCAGAGTCCAGATCACTCAGGACTTGATCTGGCCCGAATATGCTCGATGCTGTCCAGAGGAGGGCTGTCCGACTGATCGACGACTCTTCTCTAGCAGACAGTCTCGGAACCCTTTCGCACCGGCGGGCCGTCGGCGATCTAGCTCTCTTCTACCGCTACACCAACGGGCTTTGCTCTTCAGAGCTCTCTTCCATAATGTCGCCGCGCGATGTGCCTGCCACATAGACCCGCCTGACTTTGGCCTCCCATCCTAATCGTGTCGAACTTCGTACATCCAGAACTGGCCGATACAACCGCTCCTTTTTCCCGAGGGTGTCGAGATCGTGGAACAATCTACAAGAGGAAGCTTTTCCCAGTTCTACTCACCTTAGGCAGTTCAAAAATCGGATCATCAAAATTTCTTTGGGATCCTCCTAGCTTCTGCGGTGATCCGGCATTTAGGCTTTTGCCTGCGCGGCTGCTTCAGTATAACAAAAAGTTAGCAATGTTTGACTCTGATGTAATGCTTCAGAGATGGCATTACTGGAGGTAACGGCAATGCATAGGTCCATAGTGAGGATTTGTGTCCTAATAATAACACATAAATAACCTGTCGGGCACAGCTGAAATATATACTTCGCTGGCAGCATATTCCGTAATGATTTTCTCACACAGCAAATATCATTGATTTTATACACATGAAGACCAATACACAAAATCATCCATATGCCATTTTACTATTCAACCAACTTTCTTCTCAGAGATGAAAACTATAGACTACTCGGCTTCACAAAACATATGCAACCAACAATGCGTAGTTAAGCCATTCCTCCATAGATGGACGTTCACAACGATCTTAGTGAGCAAACGTAGAATGGTTGTTTGCATCCTAGAAACTACCTAGTCTGCAAGATGACATTTTATAGGTTTTTTTGACGTTTTTTCATAATACCCGTGGCGATGTCAGAAGTGTCATGTTGGATTACGTTGGTTATCACTTTGCTGGTTATCTGCTCCCGTTTTTGTCCGCGATAAAGAAAAGGAAATTATTTAGTTCCTACGCCAACTGGCGAGGATGTATTGTAATCGCGGAAAATTTCGAAATTGAGATATTGTGTTTTTGGATGTTATATGACACGTACATCACGAAAAACTATGTCACTCATTTCCGTCGGTCTGTATGTCTGTCTGGCCGCTAATCTTTGACCTCTCTACTTGTGTAACTCGGAAAGTACAGCTCGGATTTTGATAAAATTTTCATACAAGGTTACTACTATGCCAAAGGCGAAAAAGCTTTGTAGTTTTTGAAAATCGGTCCAGTTGCAGCGGATAAAAAAAATCGCTCGAACTTCGTGTTTTGATGTTTCAGAGGTTTTACAGAAGACTTGTGAATACTATCGCGAATTTAATACATACTTCCACCAATTAGGTAGTCGCAGATTTTGAAAATTGTCTCAGTAGAGACGGGACTAAGGACAGAAAACGATCTAACAAAGTGTTACAACGCTTCATACATTCCTGTTCAATTTCAGAAATCATTTGGGGAGGTTAAAAATTGTAGGTTGGAAGCTGTATGCGGTAAATGGTCTTAAATTGTTGCATACTTGGTGTCAGTTACAGACCTTCTATTATTATGAGGCTCAGTGATATTATGCATATGTTAGACATAATAAGTCACACATATGTATGTTTCCTACAACTGCTAGGGAAACAGAAAGATAAATTTCTTTTTATAGTTTCATATGTAGAGATCGAAGTATCATCATACCTTTCTTTGAAACCTCCAACGAAGGCGTAGGAAGTATAGAGTCAATCTACTTGACGCCATTTGTATTGAAAGTGCAATGGATTGAGTATTTGGCAGTAGTGATGGTTACATAGCAAAAGGGGTACTGATAGTCGCCAACATTACATACTTATTATAAATCTTTTCATAAATAAATTTTCATCAGCACTCCATCGCTTCGTTTTGAACAAACATACTCCTTTTATTATTGGCTCACACTAATGACACTAGATGATATCGTAGAAAACTAAAACCTCTTTCATCGTCGTACTAGAATTTACATGCGATTTTCTCCTCCGGAATGGCGACTATTTTTGACACTGTCAGTTGTGTTTCATAGCTGACTGTTATCTAAGCTGTGGTCGAAGATTACTGAACAACAAGAACAACTCGATAAACGATTTGTTCCTACAGAGGTCGGTGATTTGTCGGGGACAGTGTTTGGCATCCGGCATGTAAATTCTGTCTATATAGCGTAGCAGAATGAACGGAATTTATGTGACGGAATCTTGGACATGAGCACTGACAGGTTGGCGACAGCTTTACGAACAGGGCTTCAACGTGCACGGATATCGAGGAGAGCAGAAGAGAAGCGACTTAAGCCGCACGACATTGTCGCTAGACAATGTTTGACAAACGGCTGTTGATTGACATTTTCGTGCGGCATAAATCGCTTCCCTTCCCCTCGATGGGCGTGCACCTATACTGATGCTCTATGGAGTCTATGGTTTAGTTGGCTGATTGTATAGCAAAGTTTTCAAAACAGAATAATTTCACCTCTCACAAATTTTAGGCCAACTGATAAGTATGAATGATCTATTGATATATGCATCTTTAGTTAATTTCATAGTAATTGATAAGTGTACATACTCTGTGGTGATCCCTGATAGGCTTGTGGAGGGGGTTTGTATCCATATCCTGCAGCAGCATGGTACAAAGAAACTGGTACCTGCTGAGGAGGAGGAGGAGGTGGACTCGGACTTCTGGGCCTCTTTACTGTGGCATTTGTTTTGAAACCCGGTTGGACCTGAGCAAATATGAAATAAGCTTTAGTTCGTCTATAGTTGTAGTCACCGTTCCTGGCGGTTACGTCATCAACGCCATATGAAATAATTAAACAGATCGAGTCTCCGTACCATGGGCGGAACACTGCGCAGACTAATCTTCAGCGCATCTGCTACTCTCTCCAGTACACATAAAGTGGATAACAGGGGACCGCTGTGTTCATTCTCTTCCTGGAAATGCTCTAGTAAATTTAGCACGAGGTGTCGGCCTTCTCCATTGATCGTATTTCAGGGCATTGTACAATTTTATATTGAAGATTGATAATAGGACAACTCGAATTTCACGCCGACGACAAGTAAGTTGTCACAAATATGACTGAAGGCCACTCATACGTAACCACACATTTTTCGAGACGGAGACACACAACTAAAAAACGTATGTCTTTGAGCTTACCAACAAACGTTCACACACAGGAGTAGGTTGCATGTGTATGCATGAGGGAGATACAGATATACAGGGTGTCCGCAAAGTTGGGGTTTTCCTTTTCAGAAACAACTACCCTTGAAATAACAAAGGTAATGTGTAGTGAAACGAGGGCGACCAAGTAAAAAAAATGGAAAAAGTACTCACTCTCCAGTTGACGAGAAGGGCTAAGTACGTCTCTACCCGAAATCATACCGCTCCAACAGAAAATAAAATCAGCTGATGCACTACCGCGCAGACGCCGGCGGTGGTGCAGACCACGAACAGAGGTAACGAATATGACAAATTTGGGAGAATAAATGGTCCAATGAGCATACCGTTCACCATGCCAGCCCAAACATTCACCGAAAATGTTTGTTGAAAATGTGCCCGACGGACAGCGTGCGGATTTTCTACTGATCAAACATGAGTGTTGCGAAAGTTATTCACCCCATTACGCGTGAACGTAGATTCGTCTGTCACCAATATGCACTTCAAAAAGTCCGGATTATTGTCATGTTGATGCAACAACCACTCACAAAACCGCACTCTTGCTGGAAAATCTTCAGGTTGAAGGGCTTGTACACGTTGGACGTGAAATGGATAGAGCCCCTCTTCACGCAGCGTTTGCCACACTTTAGTTTTTGACACTTGCACTTCTCTAGCCACGTCTCTAGTGCTTGTTGTTTTTTGAAACGCAATCGGGTTCGTTTACCTCTACACGCGTGACCGTAACCGTCGGTTGAAGGTTGTATACTGACCTGACACACTGACCCCGACCCACTTGTACCAGTCGGTGATATCGCGGGTCGCGGCTACAGGACGGTATTCAGATATTTTTGATGTTGCAGAGCCCTTTATCTCGGTTCCCTTAAGACATTGGTGTATATGGTACTAAGAAAAATTTCTTATGTTTTCAAGATCTACAAGTCGTGTAAAGGAAAACCCCAACTTTGCGGACACCCTGTATAAAGGGATACTGGTAGTCTCACTGTGACCCGCCAAGAACGGTAACCACAACTATAGTACCGTCAATCGAATATTCTGTAAGTAGTTATGGTGACTTTATACAAACTTGAACATGCCTTGGACCCCAATTATTGAACGACGAGAAATTCATTCTAAATTAAGGCAAAACGCATATCTGAAACATTGCCACGCTTTTTTTTTCGGGACAATCTTATCGGACAGCCAGTTTTTCCGAATTTTTCTATACATATGCTTTTTTTATTTTGTGACGAAATCCACCGACGAAAACATTTAAGAAATGTCATTTTGACAGTGCTGGAGATCTGTGGTGTTGAACTTGTAATTTCAAGGTGACTTTTTTTACAATTCACTACTGAATGATAATAGAAGTTATCCAGATTTTTATTGTAGAGACTAATGGGCCCATTTACAAAAAAATATTTCTGAAAATTAAGAGCGGTATTGAACACTTACGCGATTTGATGAATTTCAAATCTGGTCCGCTTGTCAAGTTCGCTCTGGTCCAGTGTTGCCAAACCTACCGATTTATTTACCGAAATACCGAAAACGTTCTCATTTTCCACACATTTTTGTAATAATTCATACATATGTTTGCACATTTTTCATCGAAATATACACAGTCATTATCACATCACCGGACACGCAATAAGGAAACCAAAACTCGTCTGTTTTTATTTAAATATTAAATTGAAATGTCAGGTGTTGACGCTTCAAGCTCAGTGGTAAATCACAAAAATATTCACAATCTTATTAACAAGAATGGGGAAAGGAGTTTCCCGGATGGCTGCAAAGGAGTTTGAAGAACGACCAGTACAAGTAATAAAGAAGTTAATATACTAAGTGACATATAAATCCGAACACCCAGTTTAAATGGTTTTATTTTAATAAAATTTTGTATAAGTACTTAATGAAGCATAATAAATGATAAAAATTTCAAAATGATTGCACTGCTTTAAAGCCCTTTGACCTTGAATAATGTGTGGATGCACCCTGATGTGCTACGCATTCTCCAACGCGCCTAGGCATGCTTCTGATCAGGTGATCAATGTCCTCCTGTGGTATCTCATTCCAGGCAACCACCAACTCCTCTCGAAGTGCTTCTAGAGTCTGAGGGGGACGTTGCAAATTGAGCAATCTCCTACCCATCATATCCCACACGTGCTCAATTGGGGATAAGTCGGGAGATCTTGGTGGCCATGGTAACAATGTGACATCATTATGTTGAAAGAAGTCTATTGTGACTCTTGCAAGATGTGGTCGGGCATTATCTTGTTGGAAAGTTGGATCTGCCAGGGTGTCAAGATAGGGTAAAAGATGGGGTTCTAGAACTTCGTGGATATAACGCTGCGCGTATATGTTACCTCTGATGAAGATTAAAGGTGACCTGGAACCATAAGCTATAGCACCCCAAACCATAACTCCAACAGTGTGATGAACATGTCTTTCAACAAAAAACTGTGGATTCCTCCTTTCACCACGTTGCCTTATAACCCTGGCACGACCATCGTGCATGCCTAAACAAAATCGAGACTCGTCACTAAAGACAATACTGTTCCATTCCTGATCCCAGAGTGACCGTTGTCTGCACCACTCAAGGCGATTACGTCGGTGTTCTCGAGTTAAAGGGAGGACCCAGTGTGGCCGGTATGAAAACAAGCCAAAACTTCTCATTCGTCGGTAAACACTTCGCATGCCAATAGGTCTTCCGTGTTCTGCAAACCATTCATTTGCAATGGACCTGGTAGTGGAGAAACGGTCCCTTAAGGCCAATAATCTTAGGCGGCGATCTTCAAGGTCTGTTGTTCTATGGCGGCGTCCAGTGCCCCTTGCTCTTTGCGCACGGCCTTCTCGAAGCCATGCCTGACAACACCTAACCACAGTGTCCACACTTCTTTGCACTCTAACTGCAATTGCCCGAAAAGAAAGTCCAGCTTCCGGAAGTCCCACTATACGGCACCTATCAAACTCACTAAGTTGACGAAATCGTACAGATCTCCGTACTCTAGGCATCGTAACCGATCGTAAAGGATGTCAAGAACCAAAATCCGCCAACGTTGATTCTTTACTGCGGCTAAAATATTCATTTTTAGAGCGTTAGTGAATTAAAAAAAAAGCAGTATAAAAACCGGAATGTCCAACTGATAAGGCTGAAAATTTTTTCACTTATTATTTACAGTAAGATAAATACATTCACCAACTTTTATTAAAATAAAACCATTTAAACTGGGTGTTCGGATTTATGTCACTTAGTATATATTTTCAGGGAAAGGTGTCCTCAAAGAAAAACTGTGTTGTGCGCTGCGTGTTGTAAAAGCCCTTGATCCACCGCTGATCTTGCGACGGCCTTTTTTGCTCCTACGGACTTTGCCCTTGAATATATAGAGGTTCAACACTATCTACCGAATTCGTCTTTTTCGGTTCTGCAACGCTGCTACTGCATGTCAGCATCGCGGCTAAATTTCAATGTAAATATCATCAAGAATTCAACTTTAGATGCCTCGACATCACAATTCATTTGAATAATCTATTGGAGACTAAAAACAAAAAACAGATAAATGGGCCTATTAAATATTTTATCTATGACCAGGCGGTATTATGAATACATTTTCTGGTCGGTAATTCCTAATTTTCACCTAGGGGATTACTTAGGTCTTGTGGCTTAAAGTCACTTTAGCGCCCACTACCTTCAAATTGATGAACAAAATATGTCGGCCACGAGTACTGTCCATCTTTATTTGTTACAAGGCAACGGCACGGCGCGACTACATTTAAAGTCAGATTTATAGACCTTCCTTGAGGCTTCCTTGGAAACAAGTGATCTTTGTTCGGAAAACATTGACGCTTGCTCCAGGAACGTTCACGGGAGGATTTAAATTTTGATTTCACAGTGGGCTGCAATACTTTCATGATAAAATTGGGACGACTTGCTTTGTTTGTTCTAAATATCAATAAACATAGCAAAATAATAATGTGTTTGCTTTCTCGAATTACAACGCAATCACAGAGAAGTAAGAAACTAAATATGGGCAACCAGTTGCACCAAACTGCTCTGCTGCTACCTGTTTTTATTTCCAATTATCTCTTTAAATTCGTCTAGTATCTCGATCAAATGCATCTTTTACTCGCTAAACTTCTTTTTTATAGTCACACATTATAATTTATAATAACGTAAAATTTGGGTATAAAATGTTTTTTTTGTGAAGTATGTGTAGTAGTTGAATCTGGCAGACGTACAAGTAGGTATTCTACAATATACAGCCACCCAGCCAGTTCGGTGCAACTGATTGCCTATATCCAGTTTTTACTTCTCTAAGATTGCGCCGTAATTCGAGGAAGTAAACACATTATTATTTTGAATTATTTATTGATATTTTGCACGAATAAACCACATCATACCACATTTCATCACCATAATGGTAAATCAGTAAAGAAAAGTCTTCCTGACATCATTGACAGCTTGTAATAACAACTGTTACAGCCTACTATGAAATGAAAATTTGAATCATCTGTTGGACGTTCCTCGATAAAGCGTCTATCAAATAAACTTGTGAATGCATCTAATTTCTGCAAAATAATGTCTTTGGACGTTTTTCATACCATTAAACGTTTTATGACAAAGTTGAATTTGTCTTTAGATACGAGACTGATGGAGGACAGCAGTTTTTCTACCGAGAATGACTCCATTAGTGTTCATGAATACAGTTCACCAAAAGGTAAGAGAACCACGCTCTGTTATTCTATTCCCTCATTTCAAGAATATGGATCCAGATCGAATATTACATTCATTCCTACTATATTCACTTGAATATGTACGAGTATAGTCAATTCAATTAAGATACATAACATTAATGATTTAATACAATAATGGCTAATACAAATGCCGTAAGTAGTACTGTCATTGTACATATTGATAAAGAGAAGAAGTATTTTAAATTACTATTTCACCTGAGATTGCTGTTGAGGTTGTACCAATCTTGGTTGCTGCTGTTGTTGCTGCTGTATGTACAACTGAACAGAAGCTGCAGAAGGCCCATTTGGTACCATATTTGCTGGAGGTACTGCCATGGTCTGCATGGCCATCATCTGTTCACTAGATACATCAAATATTGGTTCAGTCAAATAAAAAAAAAGAAAACCACCGTAAAGCAAAAATTTTTGACACGTGCCATGAAGTTTGTTCAAACTTATCTAACTTATGAATTTTGATGGTATTATTTTTTCAGTTGCAGGGGGGATGAATTCAAATTCTCTAATAATTGCTGCTTTGAAAAAAGGCTAAAGCTGCGTGCCTACCGAGGCAAAGCTACGCCGACGGGAAGAGAACCACACCAAAACTTGCCATTTATGAACTTTAAATTTGACTTCATCTTGCTTCGCATCGCTAAAGTTTTCGAGCTCCCATTTGATTATGAACAGATAAGCCCAGCGAAACAGTTTCTGTTTTCTCCTTTTGCCCTTAATGGGATGCATCTTTCAAGTTGAAATGAACTTTGAACCTTTGGGCAATGCCCCCTGCATTTCTTCTTGATTCATCATGTAGCATTAGGTAAGTATTTCAGACTGGTTTTAAAATTATTTGTGTAAAAGGATGCAAGTTACAAAATTTAATAACACTATTTCATCAAAAATTGAAAACACTAGGTGTTACACAAATCAGTATTCTGGTACTTCTTTTTATTTTATACATAAACGATTTACCTGCCACTGTCGAAAAATTCAAAATTCAATTTTTCGCTGATGACACTTTGATTTAAGTAAGTACTAAAAATATTCAGACTGGTATCTTATATAAATGAAGACTTGAAACTTGTTTCAAGATGGGTAGCATCTAACAAACTCAAATTAATTACAAGTGAAACAAATGCTATGGTAATTATGAAAAAATGTACAAATATTCAACTAAATATTGATGGTGAAGATATTGAATTCATAGAAAATTTTAAATTCCTTGGAGTTTTCTTTGACTCTCAATTAAACATGATATTCATTGTGAGAAAATTATAAACAAGATTCTATATTTAGCTAATAACTCAATTTTGGAAAGACTGCAAATTTTACAAGACAAGTGCTAAAGAATAATACTGAATAAAGATAAATACCCATACTCCAACTAAAGAAATCCTTAGCAAATTAAAATGGCTCAATGTAAAAAATGTGATCACATGCCGACCATCATTTACATAGTACCAGAAATAAAGATGGCTGCCATTTAATGTCCAAAAAGTAAAATATATGCTACAAATCTGTATTCCATCAAGGGTTGATTGAATATAATAAAATTTAATACAGAGATAAAAGACCTGATTACGGTGACATAATTCAAAGTAAAATTGTTAAACCGACTATTATAGCTGGCTCAACATGTGCATTATATGGCTTAAATTTGAAAGTTGTTTATTATTTTTATGTAGTCAAACATGCTAAATAAATCTTTCTACTACTCCACCATTACAAATCGTGTACTGTATTTCGGCGTCCAAAAAATTATCTGAGATGAAACGAGACATTATGGCGTTATCTATGAGAATTTGTTACAGCTATGTCCTCCTCTCCGCAATAATTAGAAATCTACTTTGAAAAGGTTAATGTCTCATGTATGGCGCTGTACCCAACTATCTATGTTCATACCGCTGAGAAGGAACAAAGGTATGATAAATTCTTATACATGACGCCAGGATATCTCAATTTTATCTCGGATAATCATGGACGGTGGGCTGCTTGGCTATCTTTAGATAGAATACGTTAATCAACGTAGTCATAACATTCTTCAAAGATAATTTGTAGTTCCTTTTGATTCTCTATACTTTCTAGTAAAGGTGGTTTCATACGCTCAACATTATTTTCTGTAGTTAAGGATCCCCCACATCGACGCGGTAAGGCGATAGCGATAATCCAACATGCGGTGCTCAGTTTTCAGAGCGGTAAATAACAACGATGACACCAGCGCGGTTGGGTGGCCCGTTTCTTATCGCGTTGACAGCGTTTCATTTCGGAAACGCTGCTAACGCGGTTCTTATTGCATATCGCCACGTTTTTCACGATGTCCACAACGGAGAAATTAATTGAACAAGTTAAGAGGTACCAATATTGTACTGTTTAAGTCACGAAGACTCTAGAAATTGCAGGAAACAGGATAAAGTGTAGGATCACATTAAATTTAAGATTTCATCGAAACAATCGGGAATCATTCGAAAGTATACGTAAACACGTTGTGGATCTCTACGTAATTCAGGCATTTAGTATGATATTCTCCATACATCCTTCTTTGTTTGTTGATATCATGTACCCATTTCTTCTTTTTCCTTAAACACAATTATTAATTATTAACTGATAATTATGATAAAAATACTTGCCTTTTTCACTTTTTATCTTCTGCTATAATAAGATTAGTTCTTCTTCATCAGAAGATATATGTACCGCGGTAGTGTGAACGTGCAGCTATCGCGCTAAATGCAGTTTTTAACGCTGAATAAAAAAAAAATAATTTGCATATAGTCGCAAATTGGATGAATCAACAAGAAGTATTTGTGGTGTACTCGAAACATGGATGAGACCTGATACGAGAAATTGACATGACGCCATTACTGAGTATTTTATTGAAAATAAAATAACTCACTGTTGCTATACAAAATGATATAACACATATCTCGATTTAATATGGGAACTAGGGGCGCATCTTACCCAAGCCGTATAATTATTCTCAAGTTTGCGACATATTTTACAAGATATCGACCATATTCATTATAGCTAGGCTAGGCAGCAGCGGTGACGGAGTAGTAGACTCTTCGGTCTCCTGATCAGTCGCCGCGCGCTGTGCGGGTTCGAATCCCGTCCCAGGAGAAACTTTTCTCTTGGCTATGGATGTTGTGATTGTTCGTAGGTGGTAGATGGTCTCTGACTGTCGAAAGCGGAGGTACCACCCGGCGGATCTCGTAGGCGGAGCCAGAATGTGTACATATTGCATGCACACGTCTTCCCTCGCCAAAGTCCGTGTGACGTTCCCCCTTTCCCCTGTATCCCCCTATAGCCCCACGGTACCCAATGGGTGTTTAGGCCTTAGGCCTTCGTGGTCGTTGGAGTATAAAAAAAATATCCATTCCAGGTCATTGTCATTGACTTGATTGAGACTGAACCTTTTACTGCACCAAAAATCAGCATCTTTGGATTTTGGACGTGTTCGATTGGTTCCCAACATATATCTTAATTTTTCCATTGAGAAGTTTTAAACCTCAGCTATTTGAAAAACATTTGAAGAACGACATGCTTTTAGTTTGTTGGGTATCACAGATGATTATTTCTGATGATGGACATCGCTTTGTTTGCAGAACTTTTGGTAGTTTGTGCAGAATGTGTGATGTTCAAAAGACAGCAAGGACATCTGTTTATACTCCTCATTGTAACTTTGTTAAGATCATACTCATACCAGACGGCGATTTGTAGCTTTTTGGATCAACACTGTAACCGTAATTTCGAGACTTTTAAAATGTGCCAACACAGCTAAATATGAGATAACAAGCTTCAATTAGTTATATAGCTGTATCTCACGAACGATAGACGTGTGTAAAAAGTGCTCTCCCGAGTTTGTCGAAAATCTACGTTATTACTTCAGTAAATAATCTGATTTTTGAAAGAAATCACTATAGTGCTGTCAGAAGTATGTTGGCAGTGAAATATTGGTTGTGCACATATTTTTCATTTGTGGTTAATTGCAGTAAGTAGGATACATTTATCTTACAAAAAGTGTACACAGCAACAAAAAGTTTGCTTACAAAAAGTGCCAGTTACAAAACAATAACCATCAGAATAACTAGCTGGTTTTATAGTCAAGTTATCCAGGATCATATCTCACAAATATCTGTTTGCATCAAATTTTCACACTTTTGATTTAATCATCCTACAATTTTAAACAGAAAACATAGCCTCACAATCATAATAACTATCACAAAACGGAATCATTAATTATGAATTGATGGAGGGCAATGAACCTGAAGCCGAGGTATGCATCAAATGTAAAACAGAATTTCATATAGACAGTGGTTACTATAAATGTGATTCATGTTTTGGGAGCGTTTATAAGGATTGTGTCAATTTAACATCTTCGGAAGTGCGATGTATGCCACTACAGAAGAGGGTTCTTTTGTTGATTTGTGATGAATGCAAGCAATTAATAGCAAGAATGCCCTATATGGTGAAAATGATGGAGGAAATTAAAAGAGAATTAGCAGATTTGAAAGCAAACTACAGAAAAGACACTTATGCAAATGTGTTAAAAAATACAACATCCGCGCCGGACTCCATTAATAAGCCTAGTCTGCCTACCATAATAATTAGGCCTAAAAGCCAACAAAATATAGGCAAGAATAAAGAGGAGGTGCAAAGGTTGATAAATCCATGCGAAATCAATGTTGGAATTAGAAATATTAAGGAAACTAAGAAAGTAAACATTGTTCTAAAGTGCGACACAGAACAGGAGCTAGAAAGACTCAAGAAATCAGCAGAAAGTAAACTAAAAGGTAAATATGAAGTTAATTTACCAATAAAAATGTTACCGAAAATAAAAATTGTAGGATATGTGGGTAATAAGGAGATAGAGGAGCTTGAAGAAAGTACAAGGAAGCAGAATACATGAATGCAGTTGAAGGGACACTTTAAGATACATTATATTAGAAGACATAAAAATAAAGATACCTCCACAATTTATGCGGAATATTCAGGAAACTTATATTCTAAAATAATGAAAAATAAAAAAATTTACATAGACTGGGAGCGTCTGCCGGCGTATGAGGATCTGACTGTATCTAGGTGTTTCAAGTGTCAGGGCTTTCAACACAAAAGTAACCGGTGTCTTAGAAAGCAAGTCTGTTTAAACTGTGCAGGGAGTCACAATACGACAGAATGTGAAAGTCAGGAGAGGACGTGTGTGAACTGTGACACGGCCAATAAGCTGTATAAAACTAAGTATGCAACAGATCTTAGTGCATTAAGTACAAACTGTCCTTGTTTAAAATACCAAATTGGAATCTTGAAGTCCCGAACTGACTATAGTAAATAAGCATAATGGTAAATCACATAAATTAGGAAACTCTATATATAATTAATGAAGACGATGGTTCTTTGAGTGAAATAATGGACAGTGAACAGATAAAACCTTCTTGTCACAGAATGCACATTCATTGGCTGTAACTGCGATTCATGTCAATATAAGAAGTATCAACAGAAATTTGGATAATTTTCTGGCTTATATAGAGTCATATAAGCTAAATAGCTTTGACGTTATTGTTTTCACGGAAACCTTTCAAATTGTGTCTATTAAGAACTGAAATTTCCCTGGCTACCAAACTTTTTATAATGAAGGTAATTACAATAAAAATGATGGGGTTATTGTTTTTGTTAGGGATGGTATTAGGGCGAATTTCTCCAAGTGCCAATTAAGTATATCAAGGGCTAGTTTAGATAGACTCACGTTTGAAAGGGATGGGGTTTTGAATGGTATAACGTGCGTTTACCGACCACCTCCAATATCAAAGAAAGACTTCACTCATGATTTGCACACTTATTTGGAGCATAATAGTTCTGCTAATACTGAAATATTTCTGGGGGATATTAACATAAATATTCTGGATAGTAAGGACACTCTGGTGACTGAGTATCTGTCAATGTTGTCTTCGCATTTATCAATAAACCTACTAGACTGTCTTCGGGAACTTGCCTGGACCATATTTTTGTTAGGCAAAAATTAAAAACCAATTGTTTATTATTAAATTCTTATATATACTCAATGAGGAAATAACGGACCACACTCCAACAGTGCTTTGTATAACTAATAAAGCACGACCTTCTGGAGTTTTGGAAGTTGGGCAAGTTGTAACAAGAAACAAACTAAACATGAATAAATTTAAGAAGTTTTTGAATGATTGTGATTGGAATTTGGTAACTAGTGTGAATGATCCAGAAATAGCTGTAAAGTTACTTTTGACTACCTACAGGGACTTGCTGTTGAAAGCAACAGAAACAATTCCCACAAGAGTATCAATTCCAAAAAAAATAAAACCATGGATAAGCAATGGAATTATTGTTTCTGTAAAAAAAAGGGAAAAAAGGAAAAAGAGACTTCTAGCAAATTATAGTTTGTCTTTGGAAAATCAGTACAAGGATTATCGTAATAAACTAAATAAATTAATACACAAACAAAAGAATAATTACTATAGAATGCAAATTGAAAAAAATAAAAATAACATGAAACAACTGTATGACGTCATAAATGATGCACCGTATGAAAAGAGTTACAAAGGTCAATCTTATATTTCTATAAATGATAATGATGGCAACCAGTTTACTGCTTCTATTGAAATGGTAAATTTTTGTAATGAATATTTTATTGATGTCGGTGTTAACATGGCGCGGACAATTCCCACTCCTGAATCAGAGTGTAAATTAGCGCACCCCGTCCAGAATTCTATTTTCTTAAGTCCCATTACAAGGAATGAACTAATAAAACATATCGCATCTTTGAAAAGTACTAGTGCTCCTGGCTAGGATGGCATACAGGTTGAAACTATAAAGCAAACTCATTTTGAAATTTTAACAACTTTATTACATATTTACAATTTAATTTTGGTAACTGGAATTGTCCCGAAAGAGTCAATAGTTATCCCGATACATAAATCAGGAGAAACTACATCCATTGGAAATTACTGGCCTATAAGTTTAATAACAAATTTTGCAAAGTTATTTGAAAAATGTCTTAAAACCTCAATTAATGAATTTTTTTAAGCTAATAATGTATTATCAGATAATCAATTCGGGTTTCTGGAGGGTTACAGTGCAGCGGATGCTATGCAGAAATTAATGACTGAGATTGTCAATAATCTGAATAATGGCAAAAAGAGTTATTGCTGTTTTTTTTGGACCTTGCTAAGGCTTTCGACACGGTAAGGGGAGTGGCTTATGATTTACTGATGGATTATCTTTCAAACAGACCACAACTGATAAACCTAAATAACATAATAAGCAATGAAAAAATAATATAGATTGGTGTCCCGTAGGATACTGTTTTGGGACCGCTCCTTTTTATAATTTATATAAATAAGATGCTAAAGCTGGACACGGGGGGTTTAACTGTTTCTTATGCTGATGATACTGTACTTCTTTTGCAGGTTCTAGTTGGGAGGATGTAAAGTGTAAAACAGTGTATGGTCTAGGTATGGTAAAAGACTGGTTACAAGAGAGTAAACTAACATTGAAGTTATCTAAGACAAACTATATCGCGTTTTCGGTGACCAATAGAAACAGACCAAATTACAGCATGATTATGTTGATGATAATTATTATGTTAAGGAAGTGTCTCAAACTAAATATCTTGGATCATTATTGACCAACATTTAAAGTGGCAGCCGGATGTTGATTATGTAGCGAGTAGAGTTAGAAAATTAATCCATAAATTTTATCTACTGCGTGACTTTCTCGATAAAAAAAATTTAATAACAGTTTTTATAAAGCATTTCTTGAATCTATAATTAGATATGGGATATTAATATGGGGGGGATTGTATAATAATGCTCTGCATAAACTCATTATTACTCAGAAATATATTATTAAAATTAGATAAAAGATTCCCCACTAATAAACTTTTTACAAAGGATGTGTGTACTATTAGATCCTTGTACATGATGACAGTATCTACTTTTATTTATAGAAATGAAAAACTACAGAAACAAGTGAGTCATAACTACTGTACTCGTGCAAATGTGGGCAGGCAAATAGAAATTCCCAAGAATAACAATAACCTCAACTTAAGATTCATAACGTATATAGGGCCAAAGATATACAGGGTGTCCGCAAAGTTGGGGTTTTCCTATTCAGAAACAACTACCCTTGAAATAACAAAGGTAATGTGTAGTGAAACGAGGGCGACCAAGTAAAAAAAAATAAAGGAAAAAGTACTCACTCTCCAGTTGACGAGAAGGGCTAAGTACGTCTCTGCCCGAAATTATACCGCTCCAACAGAAAATGAAATCGATTTGGGCGAATAATGGTCCAATGAGCATGCCGTTCACCATGCCAGCCCAAACATTCACCGAAAATGTTTGTTGAAAATGTGCCCGACGGACAGCGTGCGGATTTTCTTCTGACCAAACATGAGTGTTGCGAAAGTTATTCACCCCATTACGCGTGAACGTAGATTCGTCTGTCACCAATATGCACTTCAAAAAGTCCGGATTATTGTCATGTTGATGCAACAACCACTCACAAAACCGCACTCTTGCTGGAAAATCGTCAGGTTGAAGGGCTTGTACACGTTGGACGTGAAACGGATACAGCCCCTCTTCACGCAGCGTTTGCCACACTTTAGTTTTTGATACTTGCACTTCTCTAGCCACGTCTCTAGTGCTTGTTGAGGGATTCTCGTCTACGCGATTACCTCTACACGCGTGACCGTAACCGTTGGTTTGAGCTAGTGTCCTAGTACCACTCGGGGATGTCGCGGCTACAGGACGGTATTCAGATATTTTTGATGTTGCAGAGCCCTTTATCTCGGTTCCCTTAAGACATTGGTGTATATGGTACTAAGAAAAATTGCTTATGTTTTCAAGATCTACACGTCGTGTAAAGGAAAACCCCAACTTTGCGGACACCCTGTATAACATTCTGCCAGAACACTTGAAAAAGATGAAAAATATTAAAATATTTAGCACCAGCTGCAGAGAATATATTTTTGAGAATGCTGCACAATTTGAAAGGTTTTCCTAATGATTTTTTCTATCATAGTATGATTGAAGTATTGTTCGGGATATTGAGGTTGATTATTTATAATCCAATAAATAGCATTTTCTTTTCATTTGTAAGTCCGGATGATGAAAGCACATACAGGTGGTTTAACCATCTAGGTGCATCTTTCTGCCATCAGGATGTCCTTGATCAAGAGGAATTATATTGTTGTGTTATATATTTATGTGTATTTATAATTTTTATATATGGTCTTTGTTGGATGTTATTGTTATTAAATAAATAAATATAAATAAATAAATTCTTCCTTTTATTTTTGGACGTCATGTAACTCTTTCAGGAAACTTTAATCGTAAATTTAAGGATAATGAGGCTTTTCAGGTTATGCCTGGAGTATGGGTATCCATCACGTTTTGATGTCTACTGAGGTGAACAGCTGATCAGCAAATGACATCTTTGAATGAATGACAGATGTAAATCTAATAATGCTTGTAGCGTTTTTTGTATGTAAATGAACTTTCCTAAATAAAAGAGTTTCTAGCAAGTACAAAATGAATCTGTAGCATACAAAATACAAAACAAAGTACATCTCTGTATACCTGCCGTTGACGAATCTGTCAGAATTATGTGTTCTTTGTGGATATGGGGAATTTTGAAATAATACTAGATAACCAGCTGTTATTCTATTGTAATAGATACTTGTGAAAAAGATGATAGATGGAGCTGTAACATACACAAGTTCATATGAACTTTTTTTAGATGATAAACCTGAATAAAAAACAAATCGAAAAAAGTTAAAAATCAGAATTGTCCAAAATGAATGGGTAAACTTTTTGACATGCAGTATTTTAAAACCATTCAACTAAAGAACTTAAAAATGCATTCAGTAGTTTATTCTTAGATTTCTATCCAGTGGCCAGCAATTCCAAACTGAGGCATGTGAGGTTCAGCAATTGTGCTTGCTTAAAGTGCCACCCCAACTGGTCTATTTTTGCATGGTTTGGAAAAATATGACAATTCTGCATACCCAGGTTATGGTTAGGAACATTGGGATGGAAAACAAAAAACAAAGGGATGTCCCACTAAAAATGGGACATATGGTCACATCATGCATAGTTTACGTATTTTGAAGAAATGACAAAATTAAATTAAATTATTTAGGAAATGTGAACAATGCCATACTATATAGAAAGAAACTTTGTTAATCCGATTTTTGAACTGCTGTTAATAGAACTGGGAAAAGCCTCCTCTTGTAGATTGTTCCACAATATCCACACCCTAGCATCAAAGGGGCAGCCATGTTGAGTCAGTTCTAGATGTATGAAGTTCGCCATGGTTAGAATGGGAGCCGAAATCAGACGGGTCTGACTGCCAGGCACATCGCGCGGCACAATCATGGATGAGAGTTCTGAGGAACAAAGCCCAGTGGTTTAGCAGGTAGAAGAGAGCTAGATTGCCGACGGTATGCCAGTGCTTAAGGGTCTTGAGACTGTCTCTTACAAAAGAGTCATAGAGCAGTTGGACCCTCCTTTGAACAGCATCTAGCATGGATAACCTAGTCGGGGCGGCAGCACCTCAAACATGTGAGCAATACTTGAGACTAGGTCTTACCTGAGCGTTGTATAGAGTGAGGAAGTCATCCTTTTTAAAGCTCATTACCATTAGAGATTAGCTTGCCTAAATTTCTGCATGTACAGTGACATCATCAGCAAAGCTGTGGATTGGATATATCACACAGGAAAGGAGGTTATTGATATGTAAGAGGAACAGTGTCAGAGCCAAGACCGATCCCTGGGAACACCCAAATTGACATTTTGGGATGAATCACAATAGATATCTTACAGCCAGAGAGAAAGTCAGCCATTGATCTGCAAAGCCTCTCTGAAAGGCCATAGGATAAATGTTTGCATATAAGGGCAGCATGTCACAGCTGATAATATACTTTTGTGATATCAAAAGCAGTGACATAAGCCTCACCATGAGACTGGATGAGCTTCCTCCACAAGTACGAAACATAAGCTAGGAATCCTCTATGGATAACAGAATGATCAAACTTATACAATTTTCTTGGAGCAATAGTCGGTACTTCAGTTCTGTAACAACTGATAATCTTCATTACAAGGCTAAAACAAACTGGGTGAAATTATTTTACTCACGCATTTTCTTTCACCAACTGCCTACGCCTATTGTCATCCTCATTCAATACCTTCTTTAACTGCAAAAACAGTTGGTGTTTCTCTTCCTTAAGCTGTTGGAGCTTTGTCTCTAGTTGTGATATCTGTTCTCTTGTCTCGCCTAAAGTCATAACATCCTGCTGTTCTCTAGCTTCTCTTTCTTTTCGCAAACGTTCCTCTTCAACCTCCTGCTCCCTTTCTTGCTTCTTACGAGCCCTCTCCCTCAAAAGGTGTATCTTTAGCACTTTCCACATTTGATCTGAATGTTCAGCTTTATTTGTTTCTTGGACTGCCGCAGGCATTTTCCCTAGTATCCTAATTTTATATAGCTAAATATGCACTAATTCAAGTATACTAGGCTCCACTCAAAACGAGTGCACGTTTGTTTGGTAAATATTATGGTGAAATCACTTCAAACAACGAAAATAGTACCTAGACAATCTACTTATGAAACGGCGTAAATATTATGAATGAGTATTTTTATTTTCAAATATGTTAAAGTTAAATGCATCCACCAACAAGGTTTTGTCAAATTTGATAATTTTGATATACCTATACCAATTGTATTGTAATATTTTGATATACAGTGTTGCCGAACCGTAAAAGATTAAATCGGTAGAATATCCTTGAAATTCGGTAATAAAAGACAAAGTCGGTAGTAGGAAAAAACAATGGACTTCACAAGATCAGCGACGGACAACACGTGTATAACAGCTTATGCTAAGTCAATAATTCAATATCTTAAGAAAACCTACGTTATTTCACACGGCACGGGTACCACGAACGTATCTTGAAAAGTGACATTATGCCGATCTTTTTGACATTATGCTGTTTTTTGACATTATGTAGGTTATTCTACAAGATGTTAACTTAGCACTAGGTTGTACGTGTTGCCTAAACGTCATGGGACTTGTTATCAATCTTTGGCTCTGATGTGATGTAAAATCTGCTTCTGAGATGGCATTATTGGAGGTCTAAGCTGTAAGTTGTATGTGTTGATGATAGTTACATTGGGTTCTTGTCCCAAATACACTTAATTGAGATTCAAAGGTAGAAATTAGTTGCGCATCCACTTTTTCTTATCCATTCTGGAAATTACATATACAAATTTGCTGAATTTCAAAAATAAGAAATAATTATATTCACTGTACACTGTCGACTTACAAGCCACATACATGTTAACAGTAATTGTACACAACGCGGGCGCGGTGATGATTTCCCGTAATTCTCCTCAGTTTTTCGTAATTTATAACTTTGAACATAACCTCTCTTCAGAAAGCACACCATATAAATAACCCGTCATATTCAGTAATGATTTTCTCACTCAGCAAATATCACTGATTTTATACACATGCAGACCAATACACTTAATCATCCAGATGCGATCTTGCTATTCAACCAACTTTCTTCTCAGAGATAAAAACTACAGACCCAGATCACTCAGCCTCAGAAAACTATGCAACCAATAATGCGTGTAGTTTAGTTGAGTGATTTCTCCATAGATGGATGTTCACAACGATCCTAGTGAGCAAACGTGGAATGACTGTTTGCGCCCTAAAAACTACCTAGTCTGCAAGTTGACATCATATAGGTCTTTTTTGACGTTTTATAGGTTTTTTACACAATACCCGTGCCGATCAAGCGACTGGCTGCTTGTGTCACGCAACGCCCTCTATGAAAAAGTTTATTTTTGTATTACGCGCACATATACAACAGTTTTTTTTTTTTGGCGGCATCTGTTCCTAAAAAAATCCTAAATTCTTTACTACAACTTGTACAATGAACACTCTAGTCGCTCTTTAAACTCGTTTGCAACCGTCACTAAAATTATTTTTGCGATTCTTGTTTATAATATTTTTCTGTTTCGCACCTGAACTTGAAGCCTCATCACCTGGCAGTTTAAGTTAATATTCAATTAAATACAGACGAGCTATGATTTCCTTATTGCTGTCTGGTGATGCGATAATGACGGTGATCTACCGTCTGTATCTGTTGTATACAAAACCTATATAGGAAAAACGGAATAAGGAATGTACGTACATAATTGTAAGTAATCCAAATCTACGTCCTTCGTGTGCCCAAATGTGCGCTTATGTGGGGTATAAAACTACATAGATTCATTTTTTCAGCTTTATTTTTTGACCAGCTCTTTTTCTGTAAATAATCTGGAAATATTTAAAAAATGATGGAAGATGATGTTTGCATTTCCGTAATCTCATTTAGGTAGAAATACCGAAAAAATCGGTAGCCTCGGCAGCACTGTTGACATGTCTTATGTATTTGTCACATTCCTAAGGAACTTGACTGCGCTTTGGTAGACCTGCTGATAGTTTTCATAAATATTCCTGAGAACACCCAATTTAAGGCCACGTGACTAGTCGAGCCATTGTTGATTGGACATACCATGAAATAGGAATTACGCCACGCCTGTTTTTCCATTCGGACATTGACAATCGATTGTCAGCGTAGCGTTTCTGTTCTTCCACTCCTTTCCACGATTTCCCTCCAATGAACTGTCAACACTGATGGAATCGCCCCGTCCCATTTGTACAATGAAACAATGCGGCCAACATACGACAAAGAGGTCCGAGAGAGAGAGAGAGATATGGAGCTACTCAGGGCAAAAAGCACGCGGACTTGAATGAATTGCATAGGAAACCCAGGATTCTTAGAGATTTAAAAGTTATTCAAGCAACTGGAACGAGATAAAATCCTGGACACGTAATTATAATTTAAAAACCAAGTTATTTATATATACATATGTATGAAACTTGACAATAAATTCTCCTTTACACATTTGAAGATATAAAAATTAGTATTTAACAATTAATAATTCAGATAGCAAAGAGATTACATGTCTGCTAATAATTAACTTAACTGCTCTAATATCTTACATATAAAAAATAAGAGATCTAAGAAATATCACAATAAATACATGTTATTTTCTATATAACTTTATAATGTTCCAAATAGTATTTATGCACATTTAAATTTATTTTTATAGTACTGTAGCTACACTAAATGTAGTAGTGGTAACACGTCCAGTTTTGTAGAGATTAAAGTGTACAAAGAAAAAACCCTTATATATAACTCAAATATCTTTCTTCAACGAAAACGTTTTTAAAAAGATTTATTTTTGAGAAAAACCAAATACAATGATGTTAATTGAATGAGTTCTGAATCGAGACTGACTGCAAAGTTCATTATACAAACCAAAGTAAAGAACAAATGAAATACAATACTGTAACTGATAAGAAAGGAACGTGGAGGCAAAAGTTCTTGTTCAGCATATTCTTCGCTATTTATTAATCATGGGTGCCGTACGAAAAATCTTTACTCTGAATGTTCAGTGTGAGTTCAAGACTGTTTTTCCGCCGAAGAGTAAACTGTTTGTAGTAGATGGTTTATTGGAGAAGATTTCGTTTAGTAGTCCTGAAGAGGAGGTCCGAGTACTTGAAAATCTAATTGTTCTTTCTAAACCTGGGAGTGTGTACTTTGAAATGCTGACGCACTACTTATGGTTGATGCGTATCGTATTCAAACGGTAAATGGTAAAAGAGCAGATCGCTGGTTATATGATTATGCTATGAAGCCGAAAGTGGTAAAATCTAGCCGTGATAAACAGAGTTATAATCTGTATAGTGTACAACGTTATGTCAAACCGTTTGTCGAGCGTAAAGAGGATGAAGAGGATGTGGTTTATCATCAAGAATATGTTATGTTGGATGACGACGAAAGAGAGAACCTTTTTAAGGAAATTAAGAACAAACAGAGTGGTAGAGGTAGAGGGCGAGGACGTGGTGCAGTGCGTGGGAGAGGTATGCATAGTGATCGACCTGGTAATAGGGAAGTAGAAGATGATAATCCATCGTTAAATGAAGTAGCGCAGAAATCATCACAATTAATTGGAGTAACACAGCCTATATTTAAAGATCTGCCATTAGATGAACATAGTGAAGATGAGTCTGATACTCAGACATCTAGGCGTAGTTCTTTTGAAAATCAAGAAGAGAACGTCAATGATTTGGAGGGAGAAGATCAAAACAAAAAAGGAGAAGAGCTTGATAAAAATAAGGATAAAACTAAGGATATTTACGATTGGGGTAATTTGGTTGATGAGTATGAGGAAGAAATAAAGGTAATGAGTGAAGATGCGGCCAAGAAGATAGTTGCTTTAAATGAATTAGATGATGTAGGAGAAGCAAGTAATGCTCTGATTAAAGACGTACAAGAGAAGAAAAAGGTGATAGGTAAAGAGATAGCAACTGGTAATGATGTGGTTGAAATTCCAAATTTGGTAAAGAAGGTGTGTGTAGAAAGTATCGTTCAAGCAATGATTGAAAATGGATATGAGTGGCGCAGCAAGCAGTAGGATAGCCAGACGAAAAAAAGGACATTTTCGGTTCGTTTCAACGGTTTACTGGCTATAACGAAACCAACCGCGATTGGTCGCGAACGATCCGACGGGATATCGATATCGTTACCGTTATCACCGGAACCAGATTTGGGATAGAACCCTACCCAAATCGAGAAACCAAGAAGACAGCAGCCCAGAGGACAGAAGGAACATCTGCTCCAGGACAGGCAACCCAGCAGTGGCCCATTCATACGGACACATGGGACGGATTGGATTACTACTGTAAGTACGAATGTCTTACAGGGGTGAAAACAATCAAGAGCTGTTTGATGATATATTGAGTGACACTGATTCGGACTCACAGTCGGATACGGAACATAGCCAACATAGTTTAAGGAAATTGCAATTAAGACCTAGTATACTAAATAGTACAGTCAATATGAACAACAGTCAAGTAAATCAATCAAGCATGTCATTACGCCCAGAGTATCTTAACATGATACCCGAATTTTATGGTCAACAAGAATTATTACCAAGATTCATAGATATTTGCGAAAAGTTAGTGAATAAATTTTATAGATTAGAGGATGAAAATGACTTCCAGAACGAATATCTTATGAGTAGTATTTTAGCGAAAATCAAAGGTAATGCAGCTTTAAATATTAGTAGCAATATTATAAAAAATTATACAGACTTGAAAACTGCACTTTTAAATACATATCAAGACAAGCGTGACGTATTTACTCTAAATATAGAAATGTGTGAATTGAAACAGAACAATGAAACCCCCTTTGAATTTTATAACAAAGTTCAGAGTTTATTGAATTTACAAATATTATTTTTAACTACACATTGTGTGAGTGAAGAAGCTCAGATAATATGTAATTTTTGCCAAAGCGTAGCATTAAGAGTATTTCTAAAAGGTTTAAAGGAACCTCTAGGACCGCTCATGAGGACGAAAAATCCTACAGACTTGAATGAAGCTCTGAATATATTAACTAACGACTTTCAGCTTGATCATAAGGTAGATAAACATAAAAATGTTAATCGAAATAATATGCAATTAGTTCGCCATATGAACAACAACTTTGGTGATTATAGGAATCAATACCAAGCGGTACAGCGTCCAGTATTACAACGACAATTTAGTCCTAATAATGTACGACCAAATAATCCTAATCAGAATAGAACGAATTTTCACAATAATAACGTTTTTAGACCTAATCAGATCAATAATCTGCCAAGGCCTACTCCGATGAGTACATCCACTAGACAGACGTATCAACAACCAAATTTTCAAGGTAGAAATTTTAACAGACCTGGTGTAAACGCAGAACAGGCTATGTTTAACTTGTGTGTACAAGACCAACCTGTTGTAGAATTTCCAAATGATGACAATTATGAATGCGCTTATGCTCAGAATAATTCTGACGATTTTTTAGGGCAAGAAGCCTCGGAACAGAGACAACCACAAGTCTCAACGGACCACCAAAGTCAATTGAAATTATGAGTTTAACCGACAAATGTAGCAAACTACCATACATTGTATTTCCGGAGTATAATCTCAAAGTATTGATTGACACTGGAAGTACAAAATCTTTCATACACCCTGAAATTGCGAAAAAATTATTTTCAAGACATATTCAAAAAGACCCATTCCAAATCACTTCAGCACATGGTTCATCTATCGAACAATATAGTATGACAATACCGTGTCCAAAGATTTTTAAGAATCCAAATATTCTCATGAAATTTCATTTATTCAAGTTTCACGAACATTTCCAATGCCTTTTAGGACTCGATAACCTGAAAGAGATATTGAATGCCAACATTGATTTGACCAATGATCTTTTAGTCACACCCACAACAAGGATACCCATGCAATATCACGAGATTACAAAAAATTCTTCTAATGTTATCACTATTCCACCTAGAACAGAACAGATAATTAAAGTTAACATAAAAAATTTAAAAAATGGTAATGCTATTATTCCATACAGAAAATTATCATGTTTAGAAATCAATGAATGTCTTACTACAGTGAAAAATCACGAAGCGATTTGCACAGTATTAAATTTATCTGAAGAACAGATTTCTCTTGACATATCTCGACCAATAGATGTAGAAAATTTTAAAAATTACGAATTTTCAGAAAATTCTGATCCACCGAATATTAATCCTTTAAACTTTCAAAAATATAAATTTGATATTTCCAAAATTACGACAGAGCATATGAACTCTGAAGAAAAAGATGCAATCACCAAGTTAGTAAGAGAGTATTCAGACATATTTCACATTGATGGTAATTACTTAACTTTTACGAGCAAAATTAAGCATCATATACGTACAAGCGATGAAATACCCATTTACACTAAATCATACAGATATCCTGAAATCCAGCGAAACGAGGTACGAAGACAAATACAATCAATGCTTGATCAAAAAATTATTAGAGAGAGCCATTCAGCGTGGTGCTCACCTATATGGATTGTTCCAAAAAAATTAGACGCATCGGGAAAGCAAAAATGGAGAATAGTCATTGATTATAGAAAATTGAATGAAAAAACATTGGGATATCGTTATCCTCTTCCAAACATAACAGATTTGTTAGATAAATTAGGGCGATGCCAATATTTTTCAACATTAGACTTAGCTTCAGGTTTTCACCAAATAGAAATGGCAGAAGAAGGTATTCAAAAAACTGCATTCAATACAGAAAATGGACACTACGAGTTTACAAGAATGCCATTTGGACTAAAAAACGCGCCAGCGACTTTCCAGCGAGTAATGGATAACATACTGAGACGTATTCAGAATGAAAAATGCTTAGTATATTTAGATGACATTATAATATTCAGTACTAGTTTACAGGAACATATTTCTCGACTTAGAGAAGTTTTTGAAAGGTTACGTCAGTCAAATTTTAAAATACAGTTAGACAAATCGGAATTTCTTAGAAAAGAAGTATCGTATTTAGGACATGTTGTAACGGCGGATGGTGTGAAACCAAACCCCGATAAGATAAAGGCAATCACAGAATTTAAAATACCAAAAACTAAGAAGCAAATTAAAGGCTTCCTTGGACTTTTAGGTTATTACCGTAAGTTTATAAAAGATTTTGCGAAAATCACTAAGCCATTGACAATCAGATTGAAAAAAGATGCAATTATTAATCCCAATGACGCAGATTATATTAAATGTTTCGAATTATGCAAGACTTTATTGACAAACGATCCGATACTCCAATATCCGGATTTTTCAAAACCATTCTTGATAACTACGGATGCAAGTAATTATGCAATCGGCGCAATATTATCCCAAGGTAAATTAGGCTCAGATTTACCAATAGCGTACGCCTCACGAACATTAAGTGATTCAGAAACAAAGTATAGCACGACAGAAAAAGAACTTCTAAGTATCGTATATGCAGTAAAATATTTCAGACCTTATATTTTCGGACGTAAGTTTACTATTGTAACAGATCACAAAAGCCTCCAATGGTTATTTTCAGTTAGAGATGCTAGTTCAAAATTATTAAGATGGCGCTTATGATTAGAAGAACATGATTTTGACATTGTTTACAGGAAAGGCAAATCAAACACAAATGCGGACTTTTTATCTAGAATAGAAGTAAATGTTAATGAAACAGGAGCACCGACTCCACTGGCACAATACATGAAAGAATTTAATAGAAATCTTGAAAATCAAGCAGGTCCATCGAATATTTCCAATATTCCCAATCAGACCGATAACTATTCAATCGCACCTCAACCCAATGATTTAGATAAAATTGATGAAAATGAAAGTACTTCATCAGGACACACCGTTCATTCTAATATAGAAAATCCCACGATAAATATTCCAATTAGTGATACAGCAGTAAATTGTGCAAAAAATCAAATTATTATTTCCGAAGTAAACCTCGAACCAGCTGAACCAGTAATTAGTAGATTACATGTGAATAAACAGCGAATATCGGTTCAATTATCAAAGAACAATTTTGAAGCTGATACAATTAAATTTGTAAAAGAATTTATTGCACCAAAGGTAAAATATTGTTTATATTTTGAAGACCCAGTCTATGAAAAGTTCAGCGTAGTTCTTCAAACATATTTCAAAAATTCCCAAATAAATCTAGTAAAATGCACAAAGAAATTGATAGACGTTACAGATCAAAATGAGATTAAGGATATAATTAAGAATTATCACGAAGGTAAAACCAATCATCGAGGAATCGATGAAACTGATAAAAGAATAAAACAAATATATTATTGGCCGAATTTAAGAAACTCGATAATGAGTGTGAAATCTGTCAGTTAACAAAATACGACAGACACCCGTTAAAACTTGAATATAATATTACGCCAACGCCTACGAAACCATTCCAAATTGTATACGTAGACACTATTTCTTTAGAAAATGCAAAATTTTTGACTATGACCGATTCATTTTCAAAGTACGGTCAGGTTTACATGTTGAACTCTGCCAATGGAGTAGAGGTAACAAATAATTTTATAAGATATTTTACACATCACTGTATACCAGATCAAATGATTTTCGACAATGACACAGAATTAAAAAATTCAGTAGTCAAAGAACTTTTAGAATTGCATAAAGTCAAAATACATTTTATTAGTTCACAGCACCCAGAATCTAACGGAACCGTAGAACGTTTCCACTCAACGCTCATAGAACATTTAAGATTATTAAATAATCAGGTAGAGTACAAGAACGAACCTATAGAAACTAAGGTAAATTACGCTATTTTAGCTTATAATAACACAATACATTCTGTAACCAATCTTAAACCCTATGAAGTGATTACTGGTCATTTCAATACAGAATCACCTTTTAATATAGACATAGATAAGCAATTATTAAATAATTATTCACAGAATCATAAGGAAAAAATGAAATTAGTTTATAGGAATTTAAAAGAAAAGATATTACAGAATAAAGAAAAAGTTATAAATAAAGCAAATGAGAAACGTGAAGTTTTGCCTGATATTCCTAACAAGGTATATGTTAAGAATAAGCAGAAGCAACAGAAAACTAAAAATAAGTATAAGCAAGAAAAATTAATTAGTATAGATAAGAAATTAAAAAGAGCGGAGATAGATCCCACACATGCAAATACTTCCAAAAATATCCATTTATTCAATATTAAAAGGCCCAGGAAGAAAACTTACCAATTTAAATTTACTAATATTTCAGATACCTCATCTATTTCGGATGCGGAGCAGAAATAAGAAACATAACGAACAATTTAAATTTAAATCCGAACACCCAGTTTAAATGGTTTTATTTTAATAAAAGTTGGTGAATGTATTTATCTTACTGTAAATAACAAGTGAAAAAATTTTCAGCCTTATCAGTTGGACATTCCATTGAATATTTTACAAGATATCGAAAATTCGATAACTTTTTGCAAATTGAAAACCATGCATCCCAGTATAATAAGGACTAGAGAATTATTTCAAGAACTCCGTAAGATATCCACATTTTATAAAAATGAATTACCATTTGAAGTAAGGTATGAAAATATGCTAGATTATGAATCTATTATTTCTATCAGTTGTAAAATCGATGAGAATCAAATAAGTTATTTTCTATCCATTCCTATAGATTATCCTGAACATTTCGATCTTTATTATATGTTACCTATACCGACTCTGATGCACAAATCAAAATTCGTCACTATTATCCCAAATTATAAGTATTTGCTAAAATCTGATCGAAATGAGATCAAACCCCTGAACGAGATTTGTACCCAAGGTAGAATCTATCATTGCTCTAATCGTATATTAGCCAATCACAAAGCCCGATGCGAGAAGTCAATAATTACAGAAGATCATACAGAGCCATGTAGATACACGAAGCTTCAGATTGAAGAAAATCACATCGAATTTATTCCCGAAATTAACCAGTATTTAGCTGTATTTCTCACCGAAGAAAAATTGAAAATTAAATGCAAGGAGCAAATCGATACAAAGTCATTACTTGGCATTCTCTTAGTCAAAGCCAGTGAATGCCAAATATCATTCCAAGACAATGAAATTATCTTTCAAGACAAAACCTCGAAGCTGAATATCCCAGAGACACAAATTACTCTGAAAACATTAAATTTACCAGAATTACAAGTTAATCGAATGTTACCAATTTTAGAAGAAAATTCCATAGAAAATTTTGGAAAACCCAGTATTTGGACCATATTACTATATCTCGTATTTTCAAGCATCTGCTGCATAATTTTATATAGAAGATGGAGAAACAAGAAAGCATCCAAGTTAGAAATCGACATTGAATTAGCCGAGATGAAAGAAGAAGGTCCAAGTCCCACAAAACGCACTAGAAGAGAAGATTCCAGTTCAAGATATAAGAAGAAAGAAATTCACCTTCCAGGGGAAGCTTCATTCTAGGGGTGGAGGAGTTATGTACCAGTCTATAGCGAAGAATACTACTGGCTGCACCACTCAAATGTCTGTCTTCAACGAAAACGTTTTTAAAACGATTTATTTTTGAGAAAAACCAAATACAATGATGTTAATTGAATGAGTTCTGAATCGAGACTGACTGCAAAGTTCATTATACAAACCAAAGTAAAGAACAAATGAAATACAATACTGTAACTGATAAGAAAGGAACGTGGAGGCAAAAGTCCTTGTTCAGCATATTCTTCGCTATAGACTGGTACATAACTTATATATATATATATATATATATATGTATACAAAATATTTGTGCACAATGGCATTAACAATACTGTAAATGCATAGTTTTTAATTATAATACAATATAGGTTATACCATAGTTCATTCTAGAAATTATGTCCCTGATAAAAGAATTAAATGGAAGTTTTAAAAGATTATTAATGAGTAGTGGGTTCATCTGTGAATTTATATGTTTATATAGTGGATACCAAATAAAATCCGATGCACGTCATAGGTGATGTCATTCATAAAAATCATGGTTACCAACAGTTGACTACATTCAATGTGACATTTCTACTTGAAGTTTAAATTTCCCCGTCTCGATTCGGTTGGTAGTGCCGTGCAGAGAAATGTGAGGTTGCCACTTCTCATTTGTTGACATCAGTTGCCATTGTCCTTTTGTCGTACTATTAGTTCTTTATTGTTTAGTTTGTGAGTTTTGCGCTAATTGAGCTTTGAATCGTTGCCTTGCCAATTAAAAATTGTTCTTTTCAGAACAACAGTTACTGTGAAGTGGTGTAAAGTATCCAAGCGAAGTGTTAGAAGTACAAAAGCTGATGGAAAAAGGTGGGCTTTCAAATGTATAGAAAAATAAGCTCTATATAAAAATGAAATGCATTTGTAGGTATATCATAGTTCACGCTGGCAATGAAAATGGATTTGTTGAAGGTGCGTCGCTCATATTTTCATCGAAAACCCAGCTTAATGATTACCGTGGTGAAATGAACCAGCAAAACCTTTTATATTGGTTTGAAAATCAATTACTAATAAGCTTGACCCAACCCTCTGTGATTGTTATGGATAATCCATCATACCATAGCATGTTATTAGTAAAAACTCCCAATAGCTCATGGAGAAAGGATGAAATTCAGAATTGGTTAACTGAACAAAAAATACAGTATCCACATGAAGCATTCAAATCTGAACTTCTAACGATTGTTGCACAGTGAGCAGAATACCCAATCTTTATGCATTTTGTTCCTATTTTTTTTTTTTTTGGGAATAAACCAACCAAAATGTATGTGGTCGATAACTTGGCAGAACAATATGGACATAAAGTTTTACGGTTACCTCCATACCACTGTATTTTTAACCCAATTGAGCTAATTAAAGATTACTATAATCGGCATATTGGAAGAGATGGCCACACTGAAAATGACTGCCTAAAAATGTGGCAAGAGGCACTCCAAACTATTACCCCTGATATGTGGAAGAACTCCATTAGACATACAGAGGAGATAATTATGAAATGGTATAGAAGGGAACAAGTAATGGATAGACAGGAAATTCTTCCCCTTATTATCCATGTTAACGATGACTCTGATTCCAGTGATTCAGAATAGTTAAAACATCAAAATATATTCTGTATAATGTAATCAAACTCCGGAATTGATATACAACTGAACCATACCATGCGGTTAATATCAGGCTCGATAAAGAGTACTCCTTGCCGCTAGTTGCCGGTATTGTGTAACATCGCATCACCCGAGTTCTTTCTTCTATTTGATGTGAATTGAAAAAGTGTTGTAGTTCCCATATCATAAATAAATAATCAAATTAATTAAAATACGAGAAAACAATTTATGTTCTTTAAATATTTTGTGTTTTTGAATATCTACCAAATCAGGTGTTTTTATTCAGAAATGAATTTAATTTTACAACAAGTTTATTTATTTTTAATATAATGGTATTATAGTAAATGGTAGGTATATATAAACAATTTATTTTATTAAATTTATTTGCTTAAAAGAAAATGTGCAAATTCTGGCAACAGCGCACAGCTCCACATCGATGACGTGCATCGGGTTTTATTTGGTATCCTCTATACCTAATTTAAAAATTGCCGATTTACTGATTTTTAAAATGAATCGTTTTTGTTAACCTTTGTTGTCTGTCTGTCATTTGATTTTTTGTGAAATTTATGTGGTGAAGCCGAATAGTGAAATAATTTTTCATGATAAGTCTGACCAATTGAATGATATGTCCATCAAGTGGGTCTTGCTCTAGAGAGTGCTTAGATAAACATAAAAATACCTCGTTCAAATTTAAATTTCTTATTGCAGCAGAGACCAATCTTAACATTATATTAGGATGAGAAAATTTTGTTTCTGTTTTTATTATACCTTCTGCAACCATACAAATTTTTACAACATTTTTGTAGGCTTGATTAAACCTCCTCTATTTTTCCGATTCAGCAGCATGCAATCAGAATCAGATGTTGTCAATGATCGGCACATTCATTACAATTCAAGGTTTGAACAATTTTTTTGCTAACAAAACCTGCTATATATTGAACTACATCACAAATATATACACAATTTAAAATTTTGTGGTGATTGACAATATACTGCTCCTGCAAATCAGGGGAAAAATCTTCCTCAAATTCGTACAAAAGATCAAAGCAAGGGTTTTTCATTTTTCTGGAGAAGACATTTAAAATAGATGTATGATCCATAGCAAGGCAATTTGCACTTTCAGACGAAGCGATTTCGCTGTGAATTAATAACCTCTTATACGCTTGTTCAAAATGCCAAGCTGTTGGATTATTTGAAAATCCTCCTCTACTGCGTCTTGCTGCAAAAAACATTTCCAAATGATCCTGGCTATAGGTCAATAAAAAATTTAATACTTCACCTTTCACCAAATCCTCGAATAAGTTTTTCACACTAACTAAACAAATTATCAAGCCCAAAAAACCTGTTTTCCTACTGGTTTCCAATATATTAACACCTTCATAGGTTGTTAGTGTGCTTAAATATCTAATAGAACTATTTACAAAACTTGTTAGAAATTCCTCATTACCCCTATACAAAACTGGGTGGAGCCAAAAAAGTTTCTTACATTTAACAGATCAAATATATCATTTATATTTCTGCAATATGTTGCAGTGGCTTCTGCATATTGAAAAGAACGTATATTTAAATCTTTTACACAATACTCTAAGGCATCACTCACACTTGAACTAAATGTTTATACTGCTAACTTTACTCTCATTTTTTCTTTGTAGTAGTTCAAGTATCTCCTCCTCAGCTTGGTGGCGCATTGTAGACCTGTATCCTCTTGCAAGTTGACAAGCCGTTTGAAATATTCCCACCTAATATCTTTCCCTCCACCATCTTTTAAAACACCATAGTCACCTAAAGTATTGCGCACCAATTTAATCATGTGACAAGCATCTAATATTATATGTATTTTCTCATTATTGAGAGAGTTTATGAAAAAAGGCTTAGTACCTGGAAAAGTCAAATTTGCACCTAATAAATTGGCCATAAGGATATTGTATGCATCACCATCAAAAGTCAAACTCTTAATTAACATTCCAGTGCTTTCTAATTGCAGTAAACAGCCCCTCACAAAGGTAGCCTTTTCTTCAGCTGATGAAGATTCTACTAGAAAATATGCTATTGGAACTTTCCATCTACTGTTAATACAAACAACCATGAAAACTAAAGCTTTTTTAGTCTTTGGGATCTCCTCACTGCTTTGCATTGCAACACCAATATTTATGTAGCCTACTAATCTACTTCCTGTCCAATGTACATGCTGACGAATATACATTTCTTCCATCATCAAGGCACCAACAAGCTGTTTTCCCTTTTGTTTATCAACATCCACCTTAATTTTGATAGCACGAAGTGCTTCTGCACTATATCCAGGTGTACGATCTAAAACACTATACCATTTTGAAAGTGTGTGTGGATGTGGTAGAACATTTTTTCCAAATATTTTTCTAACATAGTTGTATGCTGATGATGAATAAAAATTCAATGTTAGTGCAAAACACCTTAATTCTGGGCTATACTTGTTAGATTTTCCTTTTTTCAACTGCCTGAAAAGCAGTTGCTTTTGGGTTTCTGGGAGACTTTCCTGTAAAAACAAAATGTATGCATGCATCATTATTTTATGCTAAAAATTTCATGCACTAAATGTAAAACCTAAATACTGTGATGGTAAAATGATCACTCTAGCTAGTAATCAATAGATATTCAACAGAGTTCAACAATTGAAATGAAAATTTTACAAATGAAAATAAACAACAACAAGGTAACAATTGTAGCAGCAAAGTATCTGTTCATCAAATGTCTACCTTCAATACTATTGACTGAGCTGCAGATATTCTCTTCTCCTTAAGTAGTTCATCTACCAGACTATTTAGACTTTTTATTTTATTTCTTTGTCTACGAATTTTACACTGATTGTACTTGTTAATTTTTTTGTACTTATGAACAGTTTTCCAAAATCTCTTCCGATGCTGCACATTATTTAAATCAGAAATTTCGAAATCCCCAAAGTATACTGGTGATCTTCTGACCCTACAAATGAAAAGAGGTTGTAACAAATGAGAAACGCAAAGTTCAATGACAATTACCTTAAATTGCATATGTTTGAACGTTCACTTGATTCTAAAAACCCTAGTTTTTGTGTTAAGTTTGAAGGACCAGCTGCCGCCAATATATTTCCATTTTCAGGTTCTTCTACTACTTCAGCAATAGCCAAAGTGTGTTCTAAAAATAATTATGTTACTAAGACCCACTTCATCATTGTAAATATTAAAGTAGAAAAGTTAAAACTTTAAGCTTAGACTGGGAATATTTTAAAGAACATACCTGTTGCTTTTGAGTTGGATTCTTCATGTTTTCTTTTCAAAACCCTTCGATGGCTAGGTTCTTTCTTGAGATGGGCTGGAAAATCAAACACAGATGGAACTGCCACCTTTTTTAGTACCTTATTTCCATGAACACTAACTTCATAATCCTCTAGAGTGAAATGCTTTTCACAAATTACCGTTGTTGTACTGGCAGTGAAGTTTTCTCTTCTTATAGCATGTAACCATAACTTCCTCATGTTAGGATCTCTAGGTATCCTACAAATCCGGTTATTTCCTCGAATTACCAATTAACAGGTAATTCTCACACCAAAATGAATGAGATGATTAAAACCGACCTGTGAAACTTCATTTTCACATCTTTTCTGCGTCTATTGCAACAATTCACCGCACTGCAAGATTCAACCATTTTTAAACAAATATCACATAAAAATAGCTCTTGAAGGCTGTCCGGCATAAAAATGTTCATAATAATTGTCGCAAACTATCAATCTTTAACGTCACTAAAAACAAACATTCACCAAAAATCCTTAGAACATACAGGGTGACTTTGAAGTTTAGTCATTAATTTTCAGATAATGATTGTAGAAGGAAGATAAACCAAAATATGTGTGTAAAAATAAAAAAAAAATTAAAAAAAAATGTTACTTTGTTTTATAAAGTATCCTCCCGACAAGTATTTCAGTGCGGACCTGTATGCGGTCTTGGATTAACAAAGGCACGAGGGGTTGGTTGCACTCGATTGGGAAACCGATCCGGATCAATCCGTGATGCCGCGTAAATAAGAATCATGTCCACAAGTTCAGCATTTTCGTAAACATGTGCCATTTTTGATTTCGTTTGAGCCACGCAACAGACACCACTATTCACTCACGCGTTACCGACTGACACTGACTGTATACAACTGAATAAAATAATTGTAAAAACATCGTTCCAAATTCTTTCGCTTTTTTGTTTCCGATGCGATGAACCGATAAGGCGGATTATATCCGTTGTTGCCAAACACGAGCACATAATATTATTATTGAGACAGGGCGGTACTCAAACTTCCAAAGGGCTATAACTTTGTTACTTTAATTTTACCAGAAAAATGGTAAAGGAAAAAACATTTCTTTTGATCAGATCTACTCACTGTTAAAATAAATGACTCAACTTCGAAGTCACCCTGTATATGGAAATACCACAAACCACAATGGACCACGATGTTTTGCCCTGACTAGCGCTATCCCGCTATCCTTCTCGTTTGTCATTCTAGCCGCAATGAATTCGCGTTACGCCTGTTCCATCAGTGTAGTGTTGACAGTTCATTGTTTCCCTCGCATTGTAGGTTATGTTGTCACAGCGAAGATTATGGATATAAACAAAATGGAAAATGAAGGAAATAACAAAAATGACTCTGTAGAGCTAATAGAAATTAACATTGTGGAAGGTAATGAGTCCAAGGATGATGAAGTGCCAGCAAAAACTGCAAAAGATCTCTTCTCGGACTTCAAAGCATCCGACGAGTCGGATTATGAACCGGATGATCATGACCCAACAGATACAGATTCTGATGAGCCGCTTTCCAAGCGTGTGAAAGTTAAGAAGGACAAAGGGGCGAAATCGAAAAAAGATGCCAACGATAATGCTTCTAAGGCAAAAAAGGTGAGTAAATTGTACATTTGTAAGTGCTACCAGGCTCCTGCCAAGTGATAAATCTAGATATTAAGAAGCAGCATGCATATACGGGAAAATGCAGGTATTTTCAAATTGAGATCCTTCTGGGAGCTGGATATTACCAGCACTATTCTCAAAACGAAAAATGTCATCTGTCAATGCGTCTCACTCTTCACCCTCTGCAGCATTACTATCTATATCTATGTAAACATCCACATAGTTTTATCGGTGCTGTTGCGTCTTGTAGAACTTCCGATTTCACTGTTTTTTCCCTTAAAACTTTTAGAGAGTAGTCTGATAGATTATTTAGAAACAAAAAAAGTGTGGATAGTGAAAATTTTTTCCCAAAAAATTGTATTTTTAGCTGTTCAGAGTTCAAAGCAAGCTAAACTGATGTATATATATATAAGTTATTATCTAAAACTAATACTATTTTCTACATAAATTCTCAGTTGTCTTTTGAATTTCACAAAATTTGTAGATTTGATTTCAGCTGTTAAATTATTAAAATCTATAAGGCCTTTATGAAATATTTTGCGTAAAAGCGGACCCCTCAGCAGGAACATAAAAATCAAACCTATTCCTTGTATTGTAATTATGCATATCACAAACCTTCCTATATGTGTTCGGATACATTCCATTCTTTATTTTGTAGATGGCTATCATTGTATTGTAAAATATATTTTGTTTGATACTTAATAAATTAGTTACTTCTAACTTAAATTCTTGTGTATCTATTACATCTTAATATACATCTAAGAGCTTGATTTTGTTTTCTCTGTAGTGAATCTATATCACCTTTCTGAAACATATATAATATGGAGGAACAGTAGTTAAAGTGAGGCATGACTGTTGTTTTATATATAAGTAGTGACATCCTTGAACTAAGGTCCTTTGTTACCCTACACATTAAATTAACTTTTTTAGAAACTTTTTTTATAATATAATCTGCATGGCTATTGAATGTTAAATTTGTAGCTATCATAACTCTTAAATATTTATACTTGTTAATCTGTTTAATCTTATTATTTTCAAGTATAAATCCGTCATGCAGATAAGTATCCTAAACATTAAATTTAGATTTCAGAATCATACACTTAGTCTTGTCAACATTAATACTAAGACTATTGTTCCCTAACCAGGCATATAGTGCCTTTAAGTCTTCATTAATCATTTTAACCAAATAGTCTATGTTGTCACATTCCATGAACAAAATTGTATCATCTGCAAACAACTGAATTTTGCACTTTCTAACAGCCTTTACAATATCATTTATATACAGCACAAATAGATCAGGACCCAACACTGTTCCCTGAGGCACACCATGACTATTTTCTCTTACAGAAGATAAGAAGTTTTTATACTTTGTTCGCTGAGTTCTTTGTTCCAAGTATCCTGAGAACCATCTTACAACGTGGCCTTCAAACCCATATTTTTCTAGTTTTTTTATCAACAAATTTCTATTTATTGTTTCAAATGCTCTCCTAAAGTCGATAAACACAACACCCACATAATGACCCACACTCAACATGTTTCCATCCTGAAATAACAGTCTGAAGCGCACTCTCACATGAATGGTCCTTCCTAAAATCAGCTTGTTATTTTGTAAGTAATTTATTTTCTTCTACGTATTGACGTAATTGTTGATTGACAACAGTTTCTAGAAGTTTTTCATAGACAGGTACCATATTAATTGGTGTATGTTCTTCACATTTTATGGTTCCACTCACTTTTTCTATAGGGATGACTGTTGACATTTTCCAATCCTGGGAAAAACATTCTGTTTCAGTACTAGAATTTATAAGCCAATTTCAAGATTTTGGTATTAATTCCGTCAACACTGCTATTTTTATTTTTTAAATTGTTAACTGTATTTCTTAGTTCCTTCGTTTGAACTGTTTTAAATGTACTAAATCTACTAGTAGTTGGTATATAATTCAAGGTATTTTCCATTTGTATGTCATCTATATCAATTGCCAAATTATTCACGCCATTCAGAAAAAAATCATTAAAGCTCTCTACTATTGTCTCACTTTCTTTGTAAATAGCTCCATCGAAATCAATACCTTCCATATTTCTACTTCCCAATCCATTGCCTATGATATCCTTCAAACTTTTCCACATAGCCTTTGAATCTCCTTTGGCATCATCTATGTTTTGTTCGTAATATACTTGCTTTTGTTGTCTTATTAATTGAACAACTTTATTTCTTTGTTGTCAAAAGCTCACCCAATGTTCTTCCTGCTCTCTTGTATAGCCTATCCCTTTCTAAAGTATTGTCATGTAAATCTGGTGATCACCATCTTTTGTTGCCCAATTTGACAGGTATCTTTTCTGTTATTATTTTTACTAAATTGTTTGCTATTTCATCAGTACTGATAAGGTTGGATGACCATGGAGATTCTATTAGCATTAATTGAAATTCAAGATCATTAAAGTGTTTCAAATCTCTGTAATATTCTGCTTGACTGGTAAGCTCAGCTGTAGAAAGATTAACCTTTAGTATTGCATGGTCTGTTATTTTAGGAGTATAGCATATCTCACTTTCCAGGCACTTTTCCTTTGTAATTATGAGATCAATCATAGTTGTACTATTTTGTGTAATCCTTGTAATGTTTTGAATTATTTGATAGAATCCACTTGTCACAATAACTTTCTCAAGTTTAGAGCAGTGAAAAGACTTTTTTGCCAAGTTGATGTTAAAATCGCCAATCATTATGAGGGTATGAGTTTTTCCTGAATAATCATCTAAAGTTTCCTCCAACTTCTGCAGAAATTCATTATCTTTTGTATTTGGAGAATCGTGTACACATAAAATGTTGTATTTTTTATTATCTATAGATAAATTTACTCCAATCATCCATAGGTTTCCCTCCATTACACAGTTATGTATTGTTTTAAAATGTAATTCTTCTTTAATATATATAGAGGCTCCTCCAGTATGCCTACTTTCTGAGTATACATGCACTGCTCAATATCCATCTATTTTCAATTCCCCTTCTTCCAAATCTGTAGTAATATGTGTTTCAGACAAACAAATAATCCATTGATTCCAAACTAATTGTGCTTTATGTGTTATTAGGCTTTCTATATTTAAGTATATAATATTTTGCTGCTTTAATTGCTACTTGTTCTTCACTTTCCCAAATGTTTCAGGATAGTTAACCCTCATTTGACGTTCCCTAAATATTCTCTTGTATGTTTCACAATTTCTGTTGTATGCACAATGATTATAACTGATACATGGGATCTTTAATATCTCCTTTGCATGTTTACAGTTAACACAAATATCATTACTACTTGTACATTCCTCCCGTTTATGTTCTTTACTGCATTTTGGACAGACATCTGTTGCACTTTTACAATCTTGAGCCATGTGTCCGAATCTCCAACATTTGAAACATTGAATTATATTATCAAAATATTTACATTTCCTCCACCCAACATACAAAAAGTCATTCTCCCTCACTTGATCATATGTTTGTTTATTAACTTCTATTATAGCCACGTTTGCTTTTTTTCTTCCGTCTTCAAACATACTTATGACTTCCAACGTTCGTTTCTTCTCTGTTGTGATACCATTTTGATAAACAATACTTTCAATAAGTGCTTCATGGTCTTGGGCAATTTTTTTCTATATCTGTTACCTTTATTCTAGGGTTTTTCTTCTCGGGAATGTTTATTTCATACTTCTGCATTTTCTCCTTTACATTATCTGATATGTTCGTAATATCTTCTTTCCGTGAACATGTTATTGCTATTCCCCCATCCCCAATAAACTTTACACTCGATACGCCTGTGCCAATTGACCGTGGATCTATCTGTTATTCAATAGCCTTTTGTGTTACTGAACTATCTTGTTTTTTATCTTTTGGTTTTATAACTACTACTTTTTCAGTATTTTTTTTAACAACTTCACTGTATTTACTGATTTGCTTAGGAAAAGTGGGCTGATCCATGTTCCTCATGTTGGCCAACTGTTGTTTTACTTTTTCCATTAGCAGAACCATCGTTGGAATCTTCTTTAGCACAACCTTACATTTATCACAAGCAAACAACAGCACACGCTTTTGCAATGGCATACATCTTCAGAGCTAGAAAGTACAGCACACTCTGAACCCCATCTCCACAAACATCACACTGGTAATAGTCGTCTGTTAGGTTCTTTTTACATTTTGAACAAATATTCACCTCTTCATCCATACTACGCCACTGGAGTGTCGTTAATCACTTATTTGTAAACACAGGTCCCAACAAACAAGCAGGTTACAGTTCGAGAAATAAAAAAAAATATATACCAGCAGAGGATTGCCACTTGATTATCACTTTACAAACTGCGTTTTTCCTTATTTAACCACTAAATCGGTTGACGATTTTTACTCCAATGTAAAGATCTCACTCTTACAAACATTTTGATGTAAAATTCCACTGAAATACGTTTAATACCACTAATTTTTGTCCTTAATGTTACAGCAGAAAATATTCGATCTGAATGTCATGATGACTACTATGACACTCTATGTACCCTCAAATTTATCAAAGGTAACATCTACATTATGTTGTGTCGAAATTGAACTACAATATAGATTTGACGAGGTCATCAAATTCATCATTCTGTCTGTTGGCTCCAAAATCAACACAACCCCTTTCCGATTGTGCACCCCGCTGTGAAGAATGCATGACGCCATTCAGAGTACTAGTAATCAAGCGACTTCTAGACTTTGTTTTAATTAGGTTCATTTTTGAAAACTGCCTTTCACAGTTAGCACTGGAGTGCGGCAAAGATAAAACGCACAATGCGAATTCACCCAGTTCTTTAAATAAACGATTGCCCCGTAAGTTTACAATTTCTCCTAATTTATAGTAAAATGTGTCCAGATCTTCTGTTTCAGGGAGGTCCTGAATGGATTTCAAGAGCCCCCTTTTTCATTAGTTGGATATCGTTTGTTTCAATAATGCGAGGAACTTCTATCATAAGTGGATAAATGCTTGTTATGGTTTTTGATATTACGTTTGTTTAGCATGTTTAGTTTGCTAAGCAATGCATCATCAAAATCATATCTTTTTCTAATTTCAAAACATGATGTTATAAGAAACCGTCTGCACCTTTCAGAAAAGTCTATTTTCTGGGTAGTATTTTCTACTTTATTATTATTTTGCAAAACACCAATACCAAGATACATATACTAAGTGACATATAAATCCGAACACCCAGTTTAAATGGTTTTATTTTAATAAAATTTTGTATAAGTACTTAATGAAGCATAATAAGTAAATGATAAAAATTTCAAAATGATTGCACTGCTTTAAAGCCCTTTGACCTTTAATAATGTGTGGATGCACCCTGATGTGCTACGCATTCTCCAACGCGCCTAGGTATGCTTCTGATCAGGTGGTCAATGTCCTCCTGTGGTATCTCATTCCAGGCAACCACCAACTCCTCTCGAAGTGCTTCTAGAGTCTGAGGAGGACGTTGCAAATTGGGGATAAGTCGGGAGATCTTGGTGGCCATGGTAACAATGTGACATCATTATGTTGAAAGAAGTCTATTGTGACTCTTGCAACATGTGGTCGGGCATTATCTTGTCGGAAAGTTGGATCTGCCAGGGTGTCAAGATAGGGTAAAAGATGGGGTTCTAGAACTTCGTGGATATAACGCTGCGCGTTCATGTTACCTCTGATGAAGATTAAAGGTGACCTGGAACCATAAGCTATAGCACCCCAAACCATAACTCCAACAGTGTGATGAACATGTCTTTCAACAAAAAACTGTGGATTCCTCCTTTCACCACGTCGCCTTCTAACCCTGGCACGACCATCGTGCATGCCTAAACAAAATCGAGACTCGTCACTAAAGACAATACTGTTCCATTCTTGATCCCAGAGTGACCGTTGTCTGCACCACTTAAGGCGATTACGTCGGTGTTCTCGAGTTAAAGGGAGGACCCAGTGTGGCCGGTATGAAAACAAGCCAAAACTTCTCATTCGTCGGTAAACACTTCGCATGCCAATAGGTCTTCCGTGTTCTGCAAACCATTCATTTGCAATGGACCTGGCAGTGGAGAAACGGTCCCTTAAGGCCAATAATCTTAGGCGGCGGCGTCCAGTGCCCCTTGCTCTTTGCGTACGGCCTTCTCGAAGCCATGCCTGACAACACCTAACCACAGTGTCTACACTTCTTTGCACTCTAACTGCAATTGCTTGAAAAGAAAGTCCAGCTTCCCGAAGTCCCACTATACGGCACCTATAAAACTCACTAAGTTGACGAAATCGTACAGGTCTCCGTACTCTAGGCATCGTAACCGATCGTAAAGGATGTCAAGAACCAAAATCCGCCAACGTTGATTCTTTACTGCGGCTGAAATATGCATTTTTAGAGCGTTAGTGAATTAAAAAAAGCAGTATAAAAACCGGAATGTCCAACGGATACGGCTGAAAATTTTTTCACTTGTTATTTACAGTAAGATAAATACATTCACCAACTTTTATTAAAATAAAACCATTTAAACTGGGTGTTCGGATTTATATGTAACTTAGTATATTTTGATAAGGAACAAATCGATTCTCATCATTAGGATTAATAGCTTTTATATCAGTTTGCCTCACATATTGCGGATTCATGTATGCAAGCAGTAGATCCTGATAGGTGCTTATCATTTTGTCATGTAATTCTGTTATTACTACTTTATCGCTTTGGAAATACTTATTTAAGTCGACGAATTTTGGCAAAACCCAATCTAAGAATAAATAAAACAGTTTCACACATTCATCATTGAGATACTTAAATATTTCTTCACTTGCCAACAAACGGTGTTCTACGTAGGTTGATGTAAAAAATAAACTTAGAGGCTCCCATTCGTTAAGAATCCTTCTCAACCACAGACAACAGAGAGATCCATCTGGTTTGGGAGGTGCGAAGCATTTGATACGGATCAGCCTGACAAAAATCTTGGAACTCCTTAAACGTAGCTTGTCTTTTTGAACTATGTTTGAAGAAGTTATATATATATATATATACAGGGTGTCCGCAAAGTTGGGGTTTTCCTTTACACGACGTGTAGATCTTGAAAACATAAGCAATTTTTCTTAGTACCATATACACCAATGTCTTAAGGAAACCGAGATAAAGGGCTCTGCAACATCAAAAATAATCTTAATACCGTCCTGTAGCCGCGACATCACGGAGTGGTACAATGCCACTGGCTCAACCCGATGACAGAAGACAGAACTGGGTCGGGGTCAGTGTGTCAGGTCAGTATGCAACCTTCAACCGACGGTTACGGTCACGCGTGTAGAGGTAATCGCGTAGACGAGAATCCCTCAACAAGCACTAGACACGTGGCTAGAGAAGTGCAAGTATCAAAAACTAGAGTGTGGCAAACGCTGCGTGAAGAGGGGCTGTATCCGTTTCACGTCCAACGTGTACAAGCCCTTCAACCTGACGATTTTCCAGCAAGAGTGCGGTTTTGTGAGTGGTTGCTGCATCAACATGACAATAATCCGGACTTTTTGAAGTGCATACTGGTGACAGACGAATCTACATTCACGCGTAATGGGGTGAATAACTTTCGCAACACTCATGTTTGGTCAGTAGAAAATCCGCGCGCTGTCCGTCGGGCACATTTTCAACAAACATTTTCGGTGAATGTTTGGGCTGGCATGGTGCGTCTGCTCGGTGGCGCATCAGCTGATTTCATTTTCTGTTGGAGCGGTATGATTTCGGGCAGAGACGTACTTAGCAGTTCTCGTCAACTGGAGAGTGAGTACTTTTTCCTTTTTTTTTTTACTTGGTCGCCCTCGTTTCACTACACATCACCTTTGTTATTTCAAGGGTAGTTGTTTCTGAAAAGGAAAACCCCAACTTTGCGGACACCCTGTATATCTTCCTCCCATCTCCTAGGCAGACACCTGCATGCTTCACTGGCACCCAAATGTAATGAATGACAGATGCATTTTTGGATAACAATTCCAGGACAAGCCTCCTTCAATCGGCTAGAAACCGAATTGTGCCAAACATGATGTTACATCCATCAGATGCAAATCCAACAACAATAGTTAATGGAATATCATATGATTCTAATGCATTCTTCATTTCTGTGAACAGCCTCTCCGATGTAGCTACTTCATTGGCCTGGTCTGGTTCATCCCCCGAAAACAATTGTATTAGTTTCCAATAAAAAGTGTTGGCATTCTTGCTATTGCTATCAAAAAATCTTACACATCAGGAGCAACGTACTGACTGGGATTCATCAATAATAAGGCTAAATTTGCGTATCCTCAAGATGAAGAAATTTCATCTTCACCAGAAGGGCCAATTACATTTCTGGGAACTAAATTTGCTTTCGTCCTATATAACACAATTCCTTTTGCTATCTTGGAATCGGAAAAACATTGTTTAATTACATCTGTTAAATGATTTACATAATTAAATCTTATATTGTGTTCAGTCAAGAAACCTACTAGTATAATTTCGACGCGTTTGACTTGCTGTTCTTCTTAACCATCAGTTTTATTTTTGAATACATATAAAATTGACGTTGATGGCATTGCTCTGGCTCTTAATATACGTTTTGCTGACTTTGCGTGATTTCTCAAAACAGTTAGTTCTGCTGTCAGGCTTGCATTACAGGCAGCGCAATATATTATGCCACACTAAATATCATGGACGTGCACCGTTTTGCGTCAACAGTATTTTCTGGGCGGCAAAATAGTAATTTGCGCTTTTAATACACAAATAGATTTTATGCATTAAAATAACTTACTCTCCTCTTTTGTAAGCCATTCCTCAAATTCCTCTTTGTTTCCCACTGTTTCCTATAAGCTTGCTGTCTATGATGGCTTTCTTCAAAGATTCCGCTCCCCTTTTTTGTTTTCTGAATTAGGGAGTATCGCATCTTTCTTCTGGAGCAACTTGATTCGGAATCCGACATATCACTATTGGATTGACACCGGTTAAATATCGAAAATAATTGATCTTTTGATGTTTAAGTTTCAAAAGTCATGAAAACGGGAGACGTCGCATTCATCTAATGCACATGAACATAGTCCGCGTAATGCTAGGCAACCCATTATTCAGAGTAGGGGTATGCGTGAGTAAAAAAGCTCACTCGCAAAATTATCGTACATTCTATTATCCTACACATAGTATCGCACATCGTGCAGTACTTGAAATTATCGCACAAAAACGATAATTATTCTACGTCTGGCAACGCTGATCTGCCATATGACGTAGACGTCTGTGGATATGTCATATATGAGAGGCGCTTGCCTGCGGTGTTGCCGGATTGTACTCCGCATTTAGGGAAAAATATGAAAATTTATATGCTATATGTATATTGATTAATGAATCACAAAAATGAAAAACTGAAACAAACAACAGTAGCAAAATAAAAGGCGATTCCTAATAAGTATAAATAAAAAAATAACAGTAGTAAGCTAAAAAATGATAAATTATAAATAATTATAAAAAACAAAAGATTTAAACAGTAGTAAAACAAAAATTAATTCCATGTAATTATTAAAATCAAAAAATAACAAACAGCAGTAAAATAAAAAGTATTAAAACTAAAAAAAAACAATTCCATGTTGAATAAAAAGCAATTATAAGTGACAACACAAAACAAAAAGTAAAAACAGTAGTAAAACGAAGAACAATTTCGTTAAATCCAAACTGCTTTTTATTTTACTGTTTGTTATTTTTTGTTTTTTATAATTAAATGGAATTGTTTTTGTTTTACTACTGTTTTAATTTTTGTTTTTTATAATCACTTGCTTTTTATTTTACCGCTGTTTGTTATTTTTTGTTTTATACTTAGTAAAGAATCACTTTTAATTTTACTACTGTTGTTTGTTTCAGTTTTTTGTTTTTGTTTCATTAATATAAATGTATATAAATTTTCCACTTTTTATATTTTTCCCTAAATACAGAGCCCAATCCGACAACACCGCAGGCAAGCGCCTCTCATATATGACATATCAACAGACGTCCGCGTCATATGGTAGATGGCGGTTGAAATAATGGGGGAATAACTGTTAAAAAATACAGTGTTTTGGGAAAAAAATTTCACGAAAAGCGTGCTTCATCCACTCTTTTTATGATGTAAAATAAATTATCAGACTGCCCTCTATAAGTTTCAAGTGAAAAAACAGTGAAATCCGAAGTTCTACAAGACGCAACAGTACCAACAAGCTAAGGTCCATTTCTCACAAATGTCATTTCGGGAAAAATTTGCTTGGACCTTTTGATTTTTAATTTAAAGGGAAAATCTTTTGCAACTATTATAAATCTTGTCACTTCCACCCCGTAGGTAGGGTAAAATCTAACCCTTAAATATCTCATACAATACCCCATTTTGAAGCTACGTATGAGTACTTTACAAACTTAGAATATGAAATCAGTGACCTTCAAAATGGTGGAATGGTATTCTGCCCAAAGTAAGTCTTTTTTAGCTGCTGGTAAAGACTAATGCTGAAAAGGTCATAGTTTGTTATATCAATCTTTTTCTCCCTCTTGGAAAGTTCTATCCAAAAATATAGTAAAATTTTACATATTCTAATCAAAAAACATATTAAAATCTGCCAATTTTTCTAAGTGAATAACCCATGCTTTATTACATTTTCCTAAAGAAGAGAATTGATATAACATACTATGACATTTTGAGCATTAGTTGTTGCATTATTAGTGTCTCAATGTATAGAACCACTATACTTTGACAGTCTGTCTGCCAGTCCACTATTCTGAAGGTTAGTGATTTTACATTCTAGATTTTTAAAACACTCATGAGTAGCTCCCAAATGAGGTATTGCATGACCCCTGATTCTATTTAAGATTTAAGGGTTTTATTTCACTCAGCCATGGGGCTGAATGGAGGTTAGATTAGGTTTTTCGTAACTGGGGCAATCATGATCCTCCACTGAAACTCTCTGGTCTCTTACATCACACACCTATTTATATTTCTCTCGGTAATTCTGACCTCCTGACTTATTTGGACAAATACCCTTCGGGTCTTCTACTACTGCCCCCATTGTACCTGACTGGCAATTGTAGGGCATCTGCATAAAACATGCTTGACTGTTTTGTCTCCCTCCATGCTCAGTCTGCATTCAGCATCTTCCGCCATGCCAAGCCTGCTCATATGGTGATGCAATTTGTAATGTCCAGTGTACAGTCTGACTAAAGCTATACCTGTTTAGCCACAGCAGTGAGAGTGTTACCTTTATTGCTAAAATTGGTATGGCAGCCTTGGCTGCTGTAAATTAACTGTGTTAATTTACAAATTTCTCAAATTTAAAAATGATCAGATCAAGTCTATTGAGAAGACTCAGTTGGAACCTTTAGATAAATTCATTTAAGTACAATATAAATCTGCCATATTGCTGTTTCAGTTGGAAATGTATAGAACTTACATGAATTTATTATGTCCAACAAGTTTGTAGTATTACCTGTATCAGAAGCTTCTTAATACCAAAGATAAAACATGTACAACCCCCCATTCATCAATTGTAAACTCCTCCAAAAAATTACTGACAATGGGCAGTAGTCTCTGAAACTTTGAAAAACAAGCGCACATGGAGTTTATTTCATTCGTTGCTCTTAGTACTGCTGCCACTACGTCAAGTTTCAAATTCCACAAAGCATTTTTGTCCTGGCATAGTAGTAATCTTGTATCAGTATCTCAATAGTACTTTCCAAGTTATTGAAGGGTCTCAGATTAGCAGACTGACAAGAATGAGTATCATGGTTTTTCATGATTTATGTCATGTCACATCTAAAAACCTGAAAAACAATATCTCATTATCAACATTTTTTGAGATTACATCACTCTTTGGCATGTGAAATAAAATGAATAAGTCATAATGAAACTACAAGGCTGCAAAACCATAGGCTAGTTTTATATTCAAAATAAACATATTTGGTCACACGGCCATTCACGTCTTTTTGATGATCATATTAGCATTCCCAAATAACGTAAGTTCACAGAATCTAAGTTACTTGTAACAGCAGGAAACGAAAATTGAGTGTTTGCCCTTCAAATTCCTATAATTTTGAAATATGTTTTATGTCAATTAAGGTTGTAAAATGTCGAAAGTCTAAACCCCTGCAGGGTCCCATGTTTTAAGTGCAGCTTTTATGGAAGTTATTATATGCATTTTTACCTATTAGTAATATTTTTTTCAGAATTATTCCCAGAAGTACAAAAAAGAATGGGAAGCAATACCTTCAGTGAGACCATGGATTTCAGAGAGTGTTCATGGACCTCATTACTTCTATTGCAGATTTTGCAAAAAAGATTACAAATGTGGAAAGACAGAAATATTCAAACACATGAGTGCAATGAAGCACAAAAGACATCTCAGCTCTACAACACAAGGAGTTCAGGTAACTGCAATAAACTGAAAATTTTTAAAAAATGTTTCCAGTAAGCATATAAAAGATTAATTTCATATATCTGAGCTTTTGTAGAGTACAAATTAATATATGAATCTTTTTACAGCAAAAATTCATGTTCAGAGGGCTGTTATGCCCTGTGGTGACACCATTTGTTAAATCAAGGTATGAAATAAAAAAAAGTAAATACCTTTTAATGATTTTATTTTTTCAGAGCAAAGGAAATAAATTACAAATTGATAAATCCATATGCTAAGTTCTTGAAGGCTTGTGGTGTAAAGGGAATTTTGTGTAAGTATTTTAAAATAACTGTTCTCAATTGCCACCTCAATAGGTTGACTCTGCACTTCCCACGCAACATTGTCATCAGTTCATAAACGATTATGTTCAGCACAAATTAGTCTCTCGGAACTATCTACATACACGTATAACAAAAAACAAATAATTGGATTAAGTCAGCTATACGTCTATACTCCATAGTCCCCACATATTTGATTACGCTAACACTCTAAGTATCGTTCATCTGGCAACAGTGCTGACCTACACTAGTATAGTAACTCGAGGGAACAGGGAACCGAACAGAGTCAATTACTCCCTGATACGCTGACATTGCTTAGCACATGAAGGTTGCGACCGCGTCTATAAATATTTCTTAAGGGTTTTATATATATATATATATATATATATATACATCCCGCTATCTTTCGGGCGTCCTTTCAAGAAACAATATCTGAGCGTCCACTATAAATTCTGAAGGTATGTGCATTTTATAGGCTGAATATTTTTCAAAATATGACAGCAGTTGGTGTTGAGAAGCAATAGAGTTTTGTTCAGAAACATAGAAAAAATCGTTTTTTACATCACGGACTTCTCAGCTTCCTTTCACTGTAACACTCACTGAGCGTCCCAAATATACGCAAAACTTTTAAATTTCCGTGACTGGGCGTCCTATTTATATATTTTAAATTCACTCTAAGGATTACCTAGCGTCCGGAGACGTTGCCAAATCTGTCAGTAAATATGTTTGTCCAAGTCATCTATTCATTCCAGTAACTATTTTCTCTATGAATGACAGAATGGTAACAACAAGTTCTAGTATAACCATTCTACAAGAGAAATCAGATTGGCATCTGGTTGAGTGTATAAAACAAGGGGATTCAAGAAAAAGGGACAGCATAAGAGTGTTTAAATAAAGCCTGCTATACTCCGGAGAAGAAAATACATTCTTAGTACTAATGGACGTCGACAACACAGAAGGATTCTGTGAGTTCTTCTTCGCTGGTCCAAAGTGTGGGGCCAAGAATCTTAGTGAAAGGGGCCCGTAAAAACAAATTTTTCAAGTCAGCGGGCTAGTGTACCTACAAATAAGTTCAGCGCTCGGTCTGCTGAACTCGATTTCTAGCAGTCAATATCTAAGAAAGGTGTTCAGGAAAAAACGCTTCGCAAGAGCCATATGTGGACTATCAGTAATAACCCCATAAGGAAGAAGACATCGGACACCTAAGAAGAGGTACAAAGGATTTTGTTTTCACTTCAAATCAAATAGACATGAAGCAGGTAAGTGCCCTTGTTGTAATATAAAATTGTAAATAAAAAGTTGTTAATAAAGAATCAGAAAATGTCTTACCAGTAGATGGCGTTTGGAGTTTTATCACATGGCGGTTATCAAAATAAAATTATATGCTTTTTGAAAGCTAATTTTGACAATAAAATGGATCAAAAGAAGAATAAAGTTTTTTTTCTGGGGACACACTGTGTTTCATTTTTTCCTATATTTCCTACGACGTTACATGTGCTTTTAGTATGAAGCCAGGCAAAGCGAAATGAATAACAGATATAACCACATGATAAGTTTTACAAATTACATTATACAAGGGGTAGTGCATTAAGTTTTTATGAATGAAAATGCTGGATGTAGAAAAATACCTTGTTACATAGAATACACTTTATTATTCTTAAATAAGAACAGGCAAAAGTAAGGTGTAGAAAATAGTTATACAACACTTACAAAAATAAAATCAGAATCTGTCCTCATAGGAACCATTGAAAAGTAAAACAAAATTCCTTCATTTGTTATTATATTTATGATACTGGTTTTGGACGAATACTTTAATTTTCGGCCAATCTTTATTCGAGAATATTTCGGTATGGAGCCTTTTCAATTCCTCGCATTCATTTCGTTTCGGTGGTTTTCTGTTTTTTATGATTTGCAAAAAAATTTAAAACAATTTTTTTCTGTTCATCGGTCCACTTAATGAGTACTCGTTTATTTTTCTTAGGAAGATATTCATTTTTCTTCTCTGGAATTTTTGAACTGTACGGTTCTGGAACGTCGGAATGCAAAGATGGCGATTCACAACGTTCGCTTTGTTCTTCGTTAGCAAGCATCAAGTCTTCTTCCAAATTTAAATTAATATCATTCAGGGCTTTTCCTTTAAACTGAGCAGCTTGTCCTTTTTCCATTAAAAGCAGAAGTTTTGAAATCTTGGCTGTTTGGTATACATCATTTGGTAAACGATAGTTTTCCCGATGTACGCCAATGGTATGTCCCATAAAACTAGCCAGCTGCTCCAAATCATTCTCAGACATATCAAATAATTGTGTGAGAGTAGCCAAATGCTTCCGGAGTCTAGTTGCTGTAATAGCTGATGGGTTCTTTGCCCCAGATGCCAGTGCGAATTTCTTCAGAACCTTATAACCACATATAGATTCATTTGATTTAGCATTACCGAATAGGAATGGGTTTTTTTCACTAACAAATTTGTTGCGTATTTTAATTAAAATATTTATGTGTCCCTGAATGTCGGGACTAAAAAGAACCGGTACTCCTCGTCCCCTTTTACCTCTTATTACTATCCTTTTAAATCTTTTGAGTAGAATTTGTTCAGTTGGAGAAACAACCTCGGAGAACTCTTCATAATTTGAGCTGGAATCGCTTTTCTCCAATATTTGATAATTGTCCAGTGTCAGTCTTTGCAGTTCACCTGGACGTCTTCGGTTAAGTAAAATCACACGGCAGAATATAGACTCCAAAAGAAGTACGTATTGGCTAACGTCCCCGTCGCCGTCGTTCTGAAGTGCAGTTGCGGCAGAATTTGCCGTCGTTATCAAAAATTCCTTTAACAGTTTTAAGTCACTGGCAAGTGGCACTAGGGTAACTTTATTCCACTTGTTAATATTTATATCACTGGCGGCCTGGCTAGAAATCTCATATTGCCATTGTGACTCAATGACTTTTATCAAAGTTTTTAAATCTGCCTCTGCTTCAGCAGATGAAACTGTTAAGGCGATTTGTTTCCTTTTCAGAGCAAATATAATAGCTATCTCCGCACATTGCTTCAGATTCGTGCCCATATTCATAGCGTAGGTTGGTGATTCAAATTTATCCTTTTCTACGTCATATTTTGCCACTGCTTTTGTTGCAGCAACAATTGTATCAAAATATTTAGGTTTCAGAGCATCAAAGAGACAATGAACATTTGGCTCCATTTTTTCTATTTCGATTAAAAATCGAGCAATTTCTCGCATTTTCCTAGATGTTACGTTGATGAAATGCTTTTCTCGGTGAATTTTCATGTACCTTGCTCCATAAGCACAAATAAGTGGATCTCTTTTTGCAACGAGAGATATTTCATCCGCTCTCATCCTGGGAAAAACCGTCTTTTTCAAATTTAGATCAATTCTCAAGCTAGATACCAATAAATTTTGGGCAGACACCTGAGCACGTGTGCTCTTTGATCTAGTACATTTAATTTTGTGCCTCCATAACAATTTTCTAGAGTAAAAACCAAGGCAATTATCGCAAGGCAAAAGATCTTTTGCTGAGCGCAAACTTTGGACTGGCTTACACGCGACACTACTATTTATATAGTTTCCCTTTTTTCTTAAACGGTCCAAGAGCTGTTTTCTTACTATACTACGAGTTGGATGTAGCAGAATTTCTTGGACTCCGATTTCTGATGGGTGGTTGCGTGTTATATGTCTTGCAAAATTTAACACTGGAGTCTCGCAAAAGAAACAGAAATCTGTCTTTTTCTTTCCCTTGCGCATTTCACCATCCTGTTTATATATCCCAAAATTATTGGAAGGGTTTTCTTCTGCTGGCAGAATTGGTTCAACAGTGCGGCCCGAAAAATGTAACTTTTTCAGTATATGGATCAGATATTTCTTCCTGGAAACAAAACATTTATTATAGCTTTTTTTAACCTTCAAAACTCACATTTTATTGGACAAAACAACGATCATAGCGCCAAACATATGAAAATTTCGATCTCTCTATAATATACTCAAAATTGTAGCAGGGCATGTTGCATTAAGCTCCTCTCACAAAAACCGCTCTTTATAAATTATATTTTGTTCATTTCAGATAGTATTCTAAAGCACCTGGTGTATCAATATTATTTGTGACTTACGGGGTTGTAAGATTTATAATTAACTGGCATCACAATATACCTGTTTATTACATAAATGGTCGTCTTTTTGGATAAAACTGTTGCCAGGTTCGCTCCCAGAATCTGATGAAACCGAGGGAGTATCTGGAATGTATTCAGTACCACTACTATAAGCTTCATTTTCTTCTGAAGCATGCTCACTACTACTACTACCATGAGCATCAAAATGTTCATCACTAGTAGATACTACATCAATTGTAGGTGATATTCCACCAGACTGGAGGTTTCTAAAGTGTTCTTGCGGACTTATAGGTATTTCTTCTTCAAAGAGATTTTTTTTAACCTTCTGTAGTCTTGTGTTATACACCTTTTCGGTGGAGGATATGCTGGAGTATTGAATTTTGGTGTTCTTGTTTGACTTGTTACGTTCCCAAATAGTTCTTGGGATCCTGTGAAGTAAAATGTTTAATGTTATAATTTTTTTAAATTAAGTCTTTTCAGTACCGACAATGCAGTGGCTATCCAAGATATTTCTGCAGCCAAAAGTATTGCTTGAACCAAGTTTTAGTGACTTTATCTATTTGCCCAAAACAATTTGTTCATTCTTTAATATATCTGTTCATTCTTTAATATAATTTTAATCAACAATTTTACAAAATTTGCTTTTCAATTAAAGAGTTCTAGGGCTATTGATTAAATCAAAGTTTCGCAAATAATTCATAAATTACTACTTCCAGTTATTTTCCAAACTTGAATGTCAATGAATAATTTGACCTCACTAAAATTTCTTGAGACACAGAAGTAAATTATGTACCGTAGTTTTTAAAAGTAAACAATGTATTTTTGTAAAGATAGAAAAAGTGTTATACAGAATTCCCCAAAAAGCCGTAATAATTTTTTCAATGGAACTGCCTATATATTACACAATGTTTGGATTATGTGAGGAATTTGAAATATATATATCATTAAGCATACCGCAGGTCTATCTTCAATTGTTTTTAAATCATCGACATTTGATAAATAACAGTTTTGGTACTCTAAATCCTCATAACCCCTCAACAATCTTATTGTTAGAGCAAAATAAAAATGCCATAAAACGAAGTATGTATCATTACTTTTGTTTCACTCATTATTATAGGTGGAAGCTTATCAAAAACTAGACCGGATGTTATTCTGCTCGAAGTCAAACTGTTCAGGCGTTGTGAGGATTCAAAGTGCCCAGAAATATCACCTTTCAAATGCCCTTAATTCAAAAAGAATTCAAATAGACCAACAGTATGTTCCAAAAAGTATGTAAAATCTGTCACGAAATCAAACAAAAAAAACCTAACATAGTTGTATCCCAGTTTCTTGCGAAACCTTGTTATATGTCCGCTATTTTTATAAAAATACGCTATTTTCCTTGCAATTGGTAAAAAATGTAAATTTGTATTTCAAACAATAAAAAAAGAGACGTGCACAATTTCTAATCAGTAACCCTGTACAGTCAACGGCTACTTACAATAACTCGGTTTTATTTATGAAAAAACTTATTCAGAACTTACTTTGAATGCACAAATCTTGTTCGTTCTGGGTGGTTCCAAGTCGTTCATATTTAGGAACTTTCAGGAAATCAATGCAACTCCTGTCCTTTATATTGAGTGCATTCAACTTAATTTTTGTTTTTCTGTCCATATTATCTGAAATTACCAAAGCAATGAATACAGCTAGAATCAATAAAATTGGAAGAGTAGTTTGACACGTTGTTATTTGATTGGGATTTTCTTTATTCAAAAAAGTTTTTAATCTCTGTTTGGCCAGTTCTATAGTATTCTATAGTATTTATCTTCCATTAGCATATTTTTAAGGAGACATTATGAAACATTGCATTCAAACTGACGGCACGACTTCTAAATATCGCTCAATCGGTCGAAAAAATATTTATAATTGGGGATGTATGTGATCAATAAGACCGAGCATTACACTTTTTAATACCTGAGAAGTGAAATTTAGTATCCTGATGATCAATTAGCTTTCGTGCAGCATTTTGTTTTAATGTTAGGAACATTTTTCAGTCTAATTAATGACATACCCAGAAAATTAATTATTGACTTCCTATCCTTTACTGAATAAACCAAGAATGAATTGGTACTGTCAATGTCAAAGTGAATATCTTCAAAGTACTGAAAAATTCTCTGTATTTATTCATTTTAAAGTTATTATGAGTTTACCAATCTAAAGTGGTTCGGATGTTAGTTCGAACACATTAAGAGTGCTATTGAGGAAACCGACAGTGCCCGCCATGAAGCCTCGCAAAGCTCCCCGACACTGACAAGCTCCATGGATCAAGTGTCAAAAACAGGGCCATTGATGTTGAAAACCCTTCATAACTATACCTGAAGGTACCGCTTAGGCCGTAGACCCAAACGGCAATGTCTCACTAGCAAGAAAGTCAAAGAAAAAACGATTCAAGAAAATATACACGGAACCTTTAGCATTGTGACAATCATAGTTTCAGTTGTCACTTTAACAGGTATATCTCTCCTTTGTACACTATTTCCTCAAGATATAAATACTATGACGAATTGGACGAAGCATAATGTTGAGGTAGCCACTAAGACAAATAAGAACACACCAGAGGTTATAATTGGAACCTCTGAGATAATAGAAATTGTTGAGAAAGAATGTGAACACCCACGAGAATGCTGTGAAAAAAAGGTACTTGTCCAGCAGAGGGCGAAGCACCAGATTCAGATACACGCCATGATGGATTCGAACTTTTCCCAGATAAAAAGAGGAAATGATCTGCGAGGAAGGCAAGATTAAGTTGATGCTGAAGAAAGCTAAAATACAAGTGGACTCTTCTGATCTTGATAGGTGGTAGACGGTCATTGATCGTCGTCGTTGAGGCACCACCCTCGGTTCCCTTAGGTGGGGCCTGAATGTGTACGCATGCTCCCTCATTAGAGTACGTGTGACGTTTCCCCTTTCCACTGTAGTCTCACGGCATCCACGGTGTTTAGGCCTTAGGCCTGCGTAATGGCATGTATAAATAGCCGGTTAGAAAACACTTTTTTAATATTTAATCATATGATTATTTACAATATAAATAAATATATTAAAGTATAAGTGTATATTGAGGTCTTTAGAACGTTTGTGTTTTATTTTTGTAAATTGTTTCTAAACCGTAAGAAAATATATTAAATTTTATAGCTGAAAAATCTGCCGCGAAACGGCAAAACGTTCCAACAAAATGAGGTTAGTTTCATTACCTGAATGTTAATCCCAGAAAAGTAACAGAAATATTGAGAATATTTGTTAGGAATTTCACTAATATTAATTACATATACAATAAATAAATATTTTCATACTTACCCACAATAAAACCTTGAAACCGATTGAGAAACAATTAATTAGCACATGTTCGAAAGGAAACCCGAAATAGGAAATAGAACTAAATGGAACACTGCATCATAAGACACAGCGAGTTTAGGATGGACGCTTGGAAATCGATAGGCTAAAAGTATAATATACCCACAATCAAATCTTAAAAACGAATGCAGAACAAATAATGTCAGTCGGTTATTAGCAGGTGGTCGGAAAGAAACCTAAAAATAGAATTAAAGGGAATGCTGTGTTGTCAATATTTGAAATTTAGGGTGGACGCTTAGAAATCGACAGGTTAAAAGTATAATATACTTGCCAAAATATTCAACAGTCGTATCACGCGCCTCTATAGGCGAAAGCGTTCAACTTATAATATACCACTACTATATAAAAAAGCAGGTTGTGGTATTATCCGGGCGCCCGTACAAAATTTTAATGGACGATTCTAAACACACTTTGGATACAAAATCTATGGGAAATCAACCGGGCGTCCGTATACGGACGCTCGGTTGAAGTCGGACGCTTGCAAGATAGCAAATCGGCAATGTATGGACGCCACGGAGTTAGTGGGATGAATATATATATATATATATATATATATATATATATATATAATTATTTGTATGGAATTAATATTAATCTGGTTTTGAATTCAACTGATATTAATGATGGTGTTTCAATGTTCTATCGTATAATAAATATTGCTATAGCTTTATTTGTTCCTCTCAAAAAACTACCAACTTTCTCATTCTCAGCTGGGTTGAGATATTTGATAGGACAAAAAAAGAGCCAGGTGCAAAGCTCTGACAGATATTTGTTATTGGGATTACGTTTCGAATGTAGACATGTAGGCTATGAAGATGTTGCAAATGGTTTGCCTAATATTTTTTAACAGTATACAGTCAAAATAATGATTCTTTGAATTTTCAGGGAAACAGTCAGAATCTAACCATTCATAACCTTACATTGTCAATTAATTTTAATTTTCGATAAAAATCTTCCGATTACCTCCTATTCTTAGTTGACGCCTGGACGGTGTTCCAAACTATTTCTTGAAGAATTGTCTATGTACCCTCTCCTATCGTCTTTTTATCCTATTCCAAAGGTGTTTACATTTGGCAGTACTTCCAACACAATGGAAACATAGTTTTGTGATGGAGATATTAAAATCAGGGGACAATAATCAAATAGTTAATTACAGAAGTGTTTGCCATTCCTATATTTTTTGATAGCCTCATTTATGATCAGATACATTTCTATAGTAAGGAATAAATTGTTACTTATTGAACAACATGATTTCATCTACTGTGACCAACTTGTTGTTGTTTGAGGACATTCTGTGGAGTGCTTTCAAAAAAAGGGCATCAGATTGATGTGACATATCCAGACTTTTCTAAGGTACTAGCAGAGTTAACGACATCATCTTGATGATACAACTGAAACTCTGGTCTCTCTGATATTATGGTGTCTTAGTTTGCAAGTTTTCTTTCTGATAGACTTCAACAGATGCGAATAGGCACCAGTGGCGACGCGTGACTTTTCCTAAACTGTTACCAAAAGAAGTTTATTTTGAACCTCCCAAATATAAGTTTTTGCTTATTTTAGGTATTTTATTTACACTATTTTTAAATTAATGTAAACATTCTTGGACTGAGCGTCTGGGGCACTTGATATACCTCATCGTCTTATGCTATGACTAATCCAAGCCGTCCGAAAAAACAGTCGACGTTTCTAGATGTTCTGAAAATTTTTGATCTTTTTTTGGCATTGAATGTTAACAATTCCCTGTAATTTCCTCTATTTTCAGAGTCATCCCCTTCAAAATGAACGGTAATTCCTGTTTTGCCAAAAAACATACGGTATCTAGACGTGTGCTGCCTAAAAGCTTGGTTAAGACAACTTTCGATTCTTGTTTTGCCAAACTGAATTGAATTGGCTACACATCTCTCATGTAACGGAGAAATTTCATGTCTCCTTTTTGGAGCCCTGAATCTATTTAAATCGTTGACTCCGCTGCTGGTCCACCCATTTTTTTCTGTATAAAACAGAAGACATCGCCAACAATACAATCTGTTTTTTTGCAACCACATGACCAAGAGTTTCCATATACCAACTTAATTTAAAATATCAAACTACGTTTTTTATTCCTTTTTAAAATTATCTAAAACAGGTGTTGGTCTTCCATTTTAATGATCTCCTTTTTTTCTTAAAAATTATACAAGGAGAATGACTTTTCAAGTAGTTGATCGATTACGCAGCGACACTCATCCATCTTTAATTGCACGCATACTACAGCCGGTAACCAAAACGGCTACTGACGAGTGAGAAGTGAGAAACCAAATCAAAAAATGGTAACAAGCAGACTACATAATAGTCGCAGCGCCCCACGCACTCGGGCGGCCGCGATCAGAGACGAGCCGGTACCGGCGGTCCCCGACGGACTACCAAGTGTATCTATAACTCAAAATAGTAACAACCGACAACCAAGTCGAGGCGAGTCAGCTTCACCGTGTTCGCAAAACCTAGACACTAAGGGCGCATTATTTTCGTGGGGCTAATTTGCTATTTACTGAATTACTATTACATATTGCTGTTGGTAAACAAATAAATGAAATTATTTCACAATACTTAGTCATAAAATATTTATTTTTAAGAGTTTTAACTGTTACCAATGGTAACAATGGTTACATGGACGCTTCGCCACTGATAGGCACTGCCCTGTCTCACTGTATCAGTGCTTCGACTCGTGTACCACAGAGTGGTTATTGTTATCCGTTACTTTTAAGTATCTCTATAAATGATGTTACAGTTTGTTTTGAAAACATTAAATTTTTGTTGTTCGCGGATGATTTAAAATTTTATCGGGAGGTTGGTTCTGATTTTGTTACAAAATGACTTGAATAGGCTGTGTGATTGGTGTGTTAATAATGATTTATCGTTAAATATTGGTAAATATAACCACATTAGTTTTTACAAAAGACATGAAAGGTTGGCTCTTCTTACACTATACAAAACAATAATCTTGAATATTGCAGTATCCTAAAAGATCTTGGTACAGCTAAGTTTCAACGCATAGATAAACACTATTATACTTAAGGCTTCTAAAGTCCTTGGTTTTGTTTTATATAATTGATAGCTACTATAGAAACTTGTAAAAAATCATACATTACACTTGTGGTATCTATTGGAATATATTAGCTCGAAAGAGTGCCGAATAAATTCATTAGGTTTTGTCGTTATAAGCTTTATATAGGAATTCCTGACGATCATATATATGACGATGCACTGATATATTGAACTTGAAGAGTCTATGTCAAAGGCGTATTCACAGTGATTTATTGGTGTTTAAACGATAAAATGGTTAGATGTTATGTCATGAGCTCCTAAATAAAATGTCCTTCAATATTCCTTCACTTAATTTGAGTGTGAACCGATTATTTATTTACATTACCTCATCATAACATGAATATTATACTCACCTGGTGAGACGGCATTAAATCTTATAAACATTAAGGATATTGGAATATTGGACATTCCTTTGTCAGATTTAAAATCATTATTAGAGAAATAGCTTGATTTTTTATTTGTTACTGGCTAAAATTATACTTGTGTACGTTTGTATGTCAAGTGTCAAGTATTATTATGTTTGAATTTTTTATGCATTTTTTCTAATGGGTTTGATTCCATCCTCAAATAAATTAATAATTTTTTTATGATATCTGTGCACTCTGGTAAAAATTAAGAATACTGTTAGATACAATTTCACTCTCAGACAGTATATGTCTGTATTTTTTTAGTGAATGATGTAGTAGGTGAAGGCATGTCTTTAACACCAGAAGAACGAAAATCCCTTACCGAGTATTGGGCCACACTATGCAAAGAAAAAAATCAATTTCTTATGGTGCAAATTGGAGGAGCACCACTGAAAAGTGTTATTGATATGGTAGGTTGTGCATTCAATAAATTGTTAATTCCTTATACATCTATACATTTTCTTTTTTTTAGGCAATTCATGCGGAAAAATTAAAAGTTGGCGCTATAGTTTTGATGCCAGATTTGTATAATCGTCCAAAGAATCATTTGGATCTGATCAGATATATAAAAATCATATCAGACTATACAGACAAGATACCCATTTTATATCATCATTATCCAAAGTATACAAATCTCATTAACAGTAAGTAATGAATTACCGCGCTTCTTAAATCACTATAAAAATTATCTACCTATATACATGAATATTGTATAAGATCTAGAATCTTGATTGATACCCTTTTATGCAATTTTTTCAGTTGATATGACTTCATTCCTACTAGATATAACTGGGGAAATTGAGACATTTGTTGGTGTAATATACACCACTAATGATTTGCAAGAGGGATTGACTGCATTGACTTTAAATCCTGACAAATATGTTTGCTTCATGGGTACTGATGAGGTAAGTTTTTTGTGCTACATCTAACGTTAAAATCACCATTATAAAAACAATATTTCGATATTTATTCGATTCTTTTACATTATACACATATTCAACATACATAGCAGAGATAAGTCACTAAAATTTTGAGATTCGAATCACTAGAGTATTGCCATGATGGTATTTTTCAACTCAACCGTACTTCCTAATATTTGGTTAACATGTTATTGACCTTTTTAAGCGGCTCTTGAATTAATAAAAATATGATCAGTGAGCTATTGCTATAGACTTATATGTTTTTATTAAAAATAGATAGAGATATCATATGTCACCAATGTATGTCAAAACTATTCAAGTAGATTGGGTGACAGAGTGGTAAAGGAGTGATTATGTACTGCTGAGTAACCACGAATTCAGTTTCTTTTTAAAATTATTCAGAGTATAAATTCTAAATTGAAATGGAAGAATATATATATATATATATATATATATATATATATATATAGGGTGTCCGCAAAGTTGGGGTTTTCCTTTTCAGAAACAACTACCCTTGAAATAACAAAGGTAATGTGTAGTGAAACGAGGGCGACCAAGTAAAAAAAATAAAGGAAAAAGTACTCACTTTCCAGTTGACGAGAAGGGCTAAGTACATCTCTGCCCGAAATCATACCGCTCCAACAGAAAATTTAATCAGCCGATGCGCTACCGAGCAGACGCAGAAACCACATTGATTGTCTTACACTTAATGGCACATCTAACAAGGAAGGCAAAATGTTGCGTAAAAAGTCTAGGTATTGCATCCCGTCCAATCGATTTGGGAGAATAAATGGTCCAATGAGCATACCGTTCACCATGCCAGCCCAAACATTCACCGAAAATGTTTGTTGAAAATGTGCCCGACGGACAGCGTGCGGATTTTCTACTGACCAAACATGAGCGTTGCGAAAGTTATTCACCTCATTACGCGTGAACGTAGATTCGTCTGTCACCAATATGCAATTCAAAAAGTCCGGATTATTGTCATGTTGATGCAACAACTACTCACAAAACCGCACTCTTGCTGGAAAATCGTCAGGTTGAAGGGCTTGTACACGTTAGACGTGAAACGGATACAGCCCCTCTTCACGCAGCGTTTGCAACACTTTAGTTTTTGATACTTGCACTTCTCTAGCCACGTCTCTAGTGCTTGTTGAGGGATTCTCGTCTACGCGATTACCTCTACACGCGTGACCGTAACCGTCGGTTGAAGGTTTCTTACTGACCTGACACACTGACCCCGACCCAGTTCTGTCGTCGGGTTGAGCCAGTGACCTTGTACCAGTCAGTGATGTCGCGGCTACAGGACGGTATTCAGATATTTTTGATGTTGCAGAGCCCTTTATCTCGGTTCCCTTAAGACATTGGTGTATATGGTACTAAGAAACATTTCTTATATTTTCAAGATCTACACGTCGTGTAAAGGAAAACCCCAACTTTGCGGACACCCTGTATATATAAGTAAAGAAAGGTTTAGGTACAACTAATGATTATCAATTTCTGGTAGTCAAGTTATTGATATTTTCGAATTTGTTGAGCTTATCCAAAAGATATGGTTTCTTATCCACTAAAATTTTATGAACCAAACATAAATCTTTGGTATTATCTGAGATTTTCCAAGTTCATTTTACCATTCTCTTTGTACACATGGCTTATATGATCAAATTTCTATACAGTGTATTTAAAAAAACGTGCCTATATTTCTAGGGTACAAAGTACATCCAAAAATAACAAAAAAAAGTTCTTATAAATATGGGTCCAAAGATGCTCCCCTACTGACATACAGGCTGAAGTTTTATTTACGAAATTGAGAAAAAAATGTATGAGTTAAGATCGTAGACGTTTAATGAGCACATCATAAGCAATAATCACACAGAGTTTCCTGACCCAAACTAAACCAGGGAAGTAGAAACTGGTATACCTGGACCCCTAATGGGAAATATTTTCTAGACCACTAGACCTTTCAGAGAAAAGAAGTGCATTTTGTAAAATACCATTTAATTTTCCATATATTTTCTCTCAAGAAATTTTTGTTAGATCACTTAATATAGATTTGAATATTTGGGGTGTAATTCTAAAATATTCTTATGACAAGGTTTATTTAGCCTTCCCTATTCTGGAAGCACCATGAAGCTTAATATTGGAATTACGTTACATCAAGTGAATGATATGCGGTCTTACCTCCAATCAGTAGGCTTTTACCATTCATTAAACCTTGTCTATACACGCCACTGGAATTATCCATGTTAGATTTTTCTGTTTGTCTGTCACCACTAGTAATCGTGGAACCAATAAATTCTTATTATTTTACTTCTGACATTATCAGCCTTCCTTTTCAAATATTATTAGCAATTAGGGTTAAGTGAGCTCAACAAAGAAGATATCACTAATCATTAGCAATCTTGGACATGAATAATCAGGACGAAGTATCAGAAGACTTTCAACACTGTTCGTTCAAAACTTGGTATTTTCAAAAGAGTCTAGTCTGTATGGCGTAGAACACAGGCTTGTGTTAAATCCAAAGGTGATCACTTTCAGTGTCTCCTTTAGGTTGTATGCTGCACTTATTCAGCATTATTTTTTGTTCCCAATATTATGTCCTCATAAATTTAGAAATAAGCACGTAAGTTGTATCACATGTAATGTTTATTGTTGTCATGTTTTATTATTATATATTTATTTCTGAAATTGACGTTTTCTTTGTTTATGAAGTTTCTTTATCTATTCACAAAAATGGCTGCGTGCACACGAAAGGTTTAACGAATGGTAAGCTTCTACGCCACTGATTGAGGATAAGACACGCATATTATCCAAATAATATTGTATTGAGGCGCCATAGTTTTCGTCACATGCCATATAATGTTTCCAATATCACGATTCATGGTTCATAAGAATATTTTAACGCGTGGTCTGACAGAAATTCCTTAAGAGACAAAATTTATGGAAAATTGGATGGTATATTATAAAAGGCACTCCGAAAAGGCCAGCGGCGTAGAGAATATGTCCTATTAGGGGTCACGATACCCCAGTTTATACGTCCCTGGTTTAGTCTGGACTGGAAAACACTGTCCGTCTATTGCCTAACTTAATCTTAACTCAATATTTTTACCCGCTCTGTAGATATATATTTTTTTCAATTTCGTAAATGAAACTTCATCACCCTGCATTTGGTAGGGGAGCATCTTTGGACCCATATTCATAGGAAGTTTTTTTTGGTTATTTTTGGATGCACTTTGTACCTAGAAATATTGTGCACGTCTTTCTGTTACACCAGTTATACCAGTAATTGACATATTTAATTTTAGTCTCAAGGAACTGAAGTGTGCTGCTGGAAAAATGTCAGAAAATACCTGCGGGTAATTTAGTTTTTTTTTATTTTATACTGCTCTGCAAACGTATTCTGCAAATTTGATTGTATATCACTGCCGTAGCGGGCGCTTCATCTTCGACGTTTTCACTAGTGTCACGAGTTAGCAAACAAGATTTTTTTTACATAGATCTTCACCTCCGCTATATCAGACCTCCAATGCGACTGCGGCATGATTCTATAATTCTATTCTATTAACTTCCCAACACAATTCTAGCAAGCCTTTGGAACTAAAGTTGCAACTTGAGTGAAGCCATATTTTTATCCATACTAATGATTTTTATTTTGTGTGGTCACTTCTGAGTCCTCGTTGTCATTTGTTTACCTAAACTTTTTCAACAAGGAGCCGCTTCTGCAAAATAGATTTTATTATAATTTGAGACTCGCCCATGTGGCGACCTATGTCCATTCCATATTGATTCAGAGGTGGTCTTTTTATATGTGGTCACATACATTGGGACACAAAACGAAATTGACATTTACATAAGTGTTTTGTTTCAGGTTATGTTGGGTGCCGTAGCTAGTGGATTCACTTGTATAATGGGAAACAGCATAAATATCCTGCCAAAATTAGCAGAATCCATATGTCAGTGTATTAAGGATGGTGAAATTAAGAGTGCTCAAGCATCGCAGAATTTGTTGAAGAAAGCTTTAGATAATATTTATTGTAATGGTATGTTGGATATTTCTATGTAAATTGAATGCTCTGTTATTGTAAGCTGTTTTCCAGTGCTTATGATTTTTGAGAGTTATACTATTGATTACCCGAAGATAGTCAGTCACTCTCATTTAGTTGGCTACAGCCCTATCTCCATCTATGAGACACATTCCTTTTTAAAGTAAATTTCTAATTATTGCGGAGTGGAGAAACAGCTGTGACAAATTTCCATAGATGGCGCCACAATATCTCATTTCATATTGAATAAATATTTTTTTGGGAAACGAAACACAGTCGATGGTTGATTATCTTCAGGTAAAATACGTTAATCAATGGTTATACACTTCCAAACTGCTCCAGCAAATATGCACAGAACACAGCAAAGAAACTTTAAGGGGGCTAGGTGAGTCATTTCCAAAATCAGCAGTTATTGTAGTTGTAGTGCAGTTGAGGTGTAATGGAATGGACACATGTCTAGTATCTCATAGTTTACTTCTAGTAGCTGATTCAGGAAAGATATTCCTGGTTCACCATTATTGAATGTTGTGGGTTGGAATCCCACTGACACCAGATTTTTCTTCCATTTGCTGGAACAAATCTGATTGGTTACTCTGAAACTACTCTTTTATGGAAATGATGCTACCTTAGGCCCGGTTTTTCAGTGGCAGATCACTACGACCGTGGTCTTGTAGTTATCAATGAAAAAGTGTTTTCAATATCGCATTATTCAAAAATTTATATCAATTTAACGATTAATATAAATAAAAGTAGAAACAGAACTTTACTCTTTCCAGGAAACAGAGCTTTACTCTTTCCAGGAAACAGAGCCACTTTTTTGCTCACTATTATGCTTTTGTTTTTACTTACCAATGATGCTAACATCATTTCCTCATCTTTTGAGAGTGTTTGAGCTCTTTTTTTGATGTTTTCTTTCTACACACTAGAAAACAGTTTTTGATAAATCTTAGCGACAGGAATAACCGTATATTTTTTGCTCCGCTGCTAAAGACCTTTATTTTTGCGCGGTGGATTATAGAAGTGATGCTAAAAATGGTGATATTTAACATATATATTCAGACTTGATTGTATCTTGAGCGTATTTTTTGACCTATGTAAGGTTGATTAGGCATTGCATTTTCCACCTTCTTCACCACCTTTTCTATAATCCCGTCTATAGAGTCTACTACTAAAATTTGTACAAGCAGTGTTTGAAAAATCTTCCCTTGTTTTATTAGAATTTCGACAATTTTTTAAACATTAATAAAAAAAGACGAGCTGACACGTATGACGGTATGAGGCCATGGCACAAGACACAAACACCAAGTGCACAAAATACGGTATTTAAGAATGCAGGGTTGCAACAAATATAAAATGAACTTCTGGTGAGTTAACTGGCGCTGTCAAAATACTTGTAAAACGCATTTGTAGGCAACTACAAGTTTATTTCCTGGTTATAGTTAACTAACCAGACAGTTAAGCTGCGATTGAAAAACCGGGCCATATTGTTATTATATATCGTCGGCTTACTGCAAAAACAAGATAGCTGCGTTTTTGTTACTTTTTTGAGTTGAGTAAATTTTCACACCTATACCTGTTCAGTTTTTGTTATCTTATATTCCAATGTTGTGTTTGCTGAAAATTTTCACGCCACTGTACCCACATTTTCTAACACAATTTATGAATGTTGTCGAACACGTAAATACCAATTACAGAAAACCTCGAAACCTCGTTTTTGAAGTTTTCGGGTAACCCGACGAGATAATATGTCCTTGTAGTTTGCAAACGGGTATGATTATTATTCTAGGAGATATGGTAGCGACTTTAAAAGCAGCCATCAGTATAGTGACAAATCTACCCATGGAAGTGGTGAGAGAACCATTGCAGACTGTCTGGGAAGGAACGTACACGAAAATGAGAAACAAACTGCACGAAATCGGAATTATATAGATAGAATTTTCACATAAAAAATGTTTTCATAGTAGGTGTACATAATAATTTGTAATGTCCCTCGATCTAGTGCACCGAGAACTCGTTCAGTATATACATTTGGTATTTGTTTATTCACTTGGGTTGTGAATAAACCAATAATAAGTTATTGTTTTTTTTTCATTATTCATGCCCTTTATATAATATCTTTTTTTAATGAATGGATAATCACTTACACTATTTCCATCCAGGGGAGCAATTCTTTAAAATGAGGGAGTAGAAGAACCAGTAGAAGAAAGCCAAATAAAATGACAGAAATAACAGTAATTGATTTCACAAAGTTACGAGAAACACTTTAACAACAAAACTCTAAAGTCTAAATTAAAGCATGATGACTATTACGGAAATTTTTTTAATAACCCGAAGTGAAAATGATTGAAAACAATATACAAAATCGAGGAAGGAGTGTGTAGCAGTTCCAGGAGGGAAAAGAAAAAATACTATGATAACAAAAACGATAGCAATATGAGTAATTCTAAAATGATGTGGAGAACATTAAACAATATTGTTTCTCCAAATAGAAAGAAATAATTAATCGAAGATGGGGAGTGACAAAAAAATATTTTAACAGAAAGAATAAACACTTATTATATAATTATGGTCATCACAAGTATATCATAATGCATCAATGAATCAAATTTAGGAACAATAACATCGACAATCTAAGAAAAGCTATTTCAGCATTGAAATCTGATAAAAATCCTAGTGAGAATCCCTCACCAAATATTCTAAATGAATGTTTCAATATAAATATTATTATTGCCAAGTCATTGTTTGGTGCATGGTGAATTCCCATCAACATTAAAGTGCTTCACCATTACTCCTGTACCAAAGGTACAACATTTTGAGCTATATACAAATACGACAGTGATCAATGTCTTGCCAGATGTCCAGAAGCTGATGCAAACGGGTAATAGGCGAGCAAATAATTGGATTCATTGAAAAAGAAAGATAACAAAAAACCAAGCTGGATTTAGACAAAACTATTCAATCCAAATAGTGGTGTAAGACGACAAAAGAAGTTTAGATGAGAAAAAATGTACTGTAACAGTATTTTTAGATTTCAAAATTTCATCACCATAGTTTTAAACGATCAGTATTAAATATTTTACAAAATTATTTAGCAAATAGAAATCTAAAAACTAAAATTGGACATATTATGTCAAGCATTCAAAATGTATCAGTAGAGGTGCCACATGGGAGTAAATCGTGCCCGTTACTATTCATATATATATATATATATCTGACAGTTTAGAACACTGCAAACTTCAAATATTTGTGGCTGATACATCGGTATATATATAACATATAAGCATTTGGACACTCATTTGGGACTGTTAAATAGTGATATTAAAAAAAAGATGAATTGGTGAAATGTTAATAAACTTAAACACTAATATAACAAAATTTATGTCAGTAGGGAAACAATTAGGCTCATGATTCATGATGAAAAAACATTAAAATATCTGTATATGTACGTATGTAGTATATACTACTACTTGAAGAGCATTATACAATATCTCAAAAATATCAAAAAAGATAAATTACTTCTATTTCATTTTATATATAGTTTAACTATTGTTTGCATCAAATGAAAACATATTTTCAAAATTACAAATTCTACAAAATGAGTCATTTTAAATAAAAACAAATATGTTAAGATTAGGGTTTTTTTTGTTGTAAGAACTGAAGTAGTTGACTGTAAAAAGTTTTATATTGGTTCTCATTTTTATATTCAAATTAAAAAATCATTTATTACCATGACATTTAGACATTTTCCCAAAATTAAATAGTAATTATCATAATTACGAAACTAGAGGCAGTATTGATTTTTTCTGCATAACTAGCAAATCTATATTTCAAATTGAATAAATTGAATAATGACATTAAACAGTGTTTTCGCATTTAAACATGTGTAAGGTGAAATTAGAAACTCACTTTATGAATATCCAAAATGCATGGTGATGTAATTTTAATAGACAAGACTGTAAAATCACGGAAAATTGATACAAAATTGACATTGTACCATTAATACTAAATAAATCTTCAGCAAACACGCAATCAAACAAATGACTTAGAGAGCGTCTATACTATCAGTAAATACAGTTCTTCTAAGACTAATGTAATCACGTCCACTATCTATTAGTTTTCAACCCTCTCATTTTCAAGAAAGGACCTACAGATGCCCAATAATCGATTGACTGATATTACATTTGGCTATCATCCATGGTTAACGTGGTTATTGTTTATTGAGATAATATAAAATCAGATTTATATACTGAATACATATAAGATCAATTACTATTTTAATATTTTACTGTGTGTTCTATCAAGTTAATTTAAAATACTAGTAGATAATATCAACATTTTAAAGCATAATTTGTTTCCATAAGTTTAACAAGCATATAGTTGTGACAGTGTGAATAAGGTATTTTACTATGTGTCTTATGAACTGTGCAGCATCTGCACAATAAGGAAATATCTTAAGTTTTTCCATTATACATTTTACCTCTAGGGTGTTAGTCTTTTATTCCCAGTTTCATACCTCAATAGTTATGATGATTTACAGGGATCCATCGACTGTTTACATCGTTATTTGATAACTGAAAATGATGTCATTCTTACAGCTAGAAAATTAAAGGACAAGATGACCCCTCCAAGGAAACGCATTGATTAAGAGTCAGTCATCAGAGCGTTCCCCAACATTCCGATCACAGATGATGAGAACGGTATAGATGCCTGTAGGCATTGGTAAAAGGGCTGCAATTAAGCAAGCGATCATCCTGATGAAATTCGCAGAGCGACGAATCTTGTTCATGAAGTAAGAAATGCTCTTCATGAATTCCGCAATGAGCAATTGAACGACTTCCTGCCGAGGATGCTTGTCTCAACCATTCCTCTCTGGAAAGTGGCATTCGCTCAGATACGGAAAGCGAGAACAAATCCCGCACATCCACGGTCCTAAAGGCATTGTCTTCAAGGCAGGGGAACAGGTTGAGGTTCTCGCTGGTGCCATGGAAAGACAGTTCTCTCCCAACTATGATCTTCATAGATAGTGACTTCGACGAAGAGCAGCACATCGTAAGATCTGCCAGGAGATATTTTAGGGCAAACGGCGCCACTGACAGTTGCGCTAGCGTTGGTGATTTTTCCTTATCAGAAGATTCTTCTTCAACCGAAGATCTGCATAGCACATCAGCGGAATCTCAGAGATCCCACATTGCACACCAGCAGAGATTCAAGGTCATATAAATGACCTCAAGGTGCGTAAAGCACCTGGGGAGGATCAAATGACAAATAATGCGCGGAAGCTGCTTTTGCGGAAGTCCTTAACTTATCTCGTGGCTATAATCAATGCCATGCTAAGGACCCAGCACTTTCCATCCGCGTCGAATGCCGCTGGAGTTAAAATGATTCCAAAGAAGGCGGGTTCGATATCCCCAGGATTAGCGTCCCATTCGCCTGCTGTCAGCTCCATCTAAGCTCGCTGAAAAGCTGATTCTACGCCACCTTGAGAATTTTTCGTCAGATCACCATGTGATTCCTAACGTGCAATTCGGTCTGAGCATAGTACGGAGCTATAGGCAGATAGGCTGGTGGAACGAGCAACCAGAGTATTCACCCTTATGAAAGTACTGGCATCTTGCTGTTGGATGTCTAAAAAGCTTTGACAAGGTGTGGCATGCGGTCCTCCTGTATCAACTAATCCAACAAGGCTTCCCTTTTTGGCTTCTAAGCCTACCGAAATCCTTCCTTGAAGGTAGGAAATTTCGGATGACAATGTTCTGTCGACAACACGGCTCATTACAGCTGGTGTCGAGAGGCTGCAAAGTGCGGTGTAGGAAGTATTATAGTGGGCAAATCAGTCGCTGATGTTTAAAATTAACCATTCGAAAGAGCAAGCAATCTATTATACAAAAAGACGTCGCGGCGCCCCGACTTAGGTTTCAATGAATTTAGTTCGTATACCATTGGAAATCTCCGCTAAGTATCTCGGTGTTATTCTAGACATCTAGACGAACGGATGACTTGGCGGAATCATATTGAAGTTGAAAACTAAATTCCAAATTATGATTCGACAGCTTCGCCCATTATTTTGCAAATTTTCAAAATAAAGTTTGATTACCAGAATTGGGCTCTATAAGGTAATCATAAGACCAGCAATGACTTACGCATGTGCGGCTTGGTGTTTTATTGTCAAAACACACATTCGAAATCTGAAGGTTCTGCAAAGTAGGACGTTGCGCACTGTTAGTGACGCCCCATGGTATGTCTCTAACGAACTCTTCACAACGACCTCGATGTCCCTTACCTAAGGGACTGCATCCAGCAACAGCTGCAGTGGCGCTATAAGCAAGTGGAATATTGCACAGCAACCCTCTGTTGCGCGAGTCAGTTGACTACACAGTCGAGCAACCCCGCAAGCACAAAAGGCGGCGGCTCACACTTTAATCAAAATTAATTCTTGAATTTAGAACAACCAAATATTGGAGCATTTTGACAAAATCCTCAGAAAAATCAAATATTGTTATGGGACCTCGGTTGGCCGCGTGGGTCAGAGTGTCGTGCTACTGATCAGCCGGCCGGCCGGGCCGCGAGTTCGAATCTCGCCTTCGCCATGGATGTTGTGTGTTTGTTTTAGGCAGCAGCGGTGGCCGCAGTAGTAGACTCTTCGGTCTCCTGATCAGTCGCCGTGCGCTGTGCGGGTTCGATTCCCGTCTCCAGGAGAAATGTTTCTCTTGGCCATGGATGTTGTGATTGTCCGTAGGTGGTAGATGGTCTCTGACTGTCGAACGCGGAGGTACCACCCGGCGGTTCTCGTAGGCGGAGCCAGAATGTGTGCATGTTGCATGCACACGTGTTCCCTCGCCAGAGTCCGTGTGGCGTCCCCCCTTTCCCATGTATCCCCCATAGCCCCACGGTACCCAATGGGTGCTTAGGCCTCAGGCCTTCGTGGTAGTTGGAGTATAAAAAAAAAAAAATAAAAAAAAAAGACCATATCAACATCTGTCAAGTGATTTCCCAATGCGTAAACGCTATCTGTCCTAAACGATTCTCTTCTTCCTCTTTGTTCTCGTTCTTCCTTCTCTCCTTTCCTTCCATTTTCCCTTAAAGTTGTGTGGTTTCTGGGTTATTAGCCCTGACTGGCACTATGACTCAAGAGTTAAGGTCCCACGGACCGCTCTGCCAACCAACGATGACTTGATCTGATATTACGAACTGCCATCTGATTGTCATTTTGTGTAATTTTGGAAAATTATTCTAGATAATCATTATTATGACCATATTTATAACTTTTTCAAGCCCCATATCGCTGAATTACATCATGGGTTTGTTTCTGCGCGATCTACGACTTCTAATTGCCTGTTTTCGCCAATTGGTTACCAAGAATCTGGATCAGAAAGGTCAGATTGATGTAATATACAGGGTGTTTCACAACTTATACGAAAAATTTTAACCACATATGCACTGTTACGAAAGAAGTTGATTTCTCAACAAAAAAATGAAAAAAATATCTACAGAAATCGAGATAATAAAATGATACAGTTTAGCAGTTCACTTACTTATAAAAGCTGCTCAAAATTGTTTCCATTGATAGCAATGCAAACTTGGGCGCGTCTAATCCAATTTCGGTGCACTAATTCAAATACACCTCCTTCCTGCTGTGCCTGAAGGCTCGAAATTATCGGCAGCCACTGTGATTCGGTCACGCAATTCTTCAATATTCTGAACTGGATTACGGTATACCTCGTTTTACAAGTATCCTCATAAATAGAAGTCCAGGGGATTTAGATCGGGAGACCGTGGAGACCATGCAATTGGCCCACCCCTTCCGATCCAGCGTATCTGGTATACCTGATTAAAAAAATCACGATCTTCTAAACGAAAATGCGGATCTGCCCCATCGTGCAGAAACCACATCCGTACTGGGACTGCCAATGGCACATCGTCAAGAAGAAATTCCAAATACTGGTGACCATCTATCCCATCTGGCAATATGAACGGTTCATCGACAATACCTGCCCACACGTTTAAAGAAAAACGATCTTGGAAGTGTGTCTGGACCACTCCGTGAGGAGTCTCAAACGACTAAACGTGTACCTATATTATGAAGATAGGTTATCCCATTACGGGTAAACATAGTTTCATCGGTGGCCAAAATATCAGCTGTAAGACTACCACGTACAAAATCTTACTCTTCGGGGGTAGTTTGTCGGATGCCTGGACTCTCTGGACGTGACAAGGGTACAGTTGGGCCTCATGTAATATGCGCCACGCTCTTGCATGTGACACTTTTGGGACCTGTTGTGCTTATCCCCTGATTTTCTTCCACAATATCCAAAATTTTGTGTTCGGCATTTAAAACGCGTTATGAGCGAACCCTACCTCCACCCACTCCACGTCTGGGGCACAAATCTCCACTAGCACGTGCACGTAAAACAATTGAACTAAATGTTTCGTGAAGTGGTATGTGCCTATTCGGAAACCGATGTGCATACAAACGAAAAGCCACTCGCGAATTTTGCCCTGCTTCTCCGTACGCTAAAACAATATCCACTAACTCCTCATTAGTGTTCACATGTGCCATTTTTATTAATAAATAACTAAAAACATAAACTCGCAAAATACTTTCTTATTTAACTTTACAAAAATCGACCGTTCTTCATTCAAATCAACCACGATACAGATTAAACCTTATTTACACGTCCTTATCAATATGAAAAAACAAAAAGTTTTTGGTATTTTGTTTTCGTCAGTCGTTTGGTAAAACATTTGCTACAATAAATTATTTTAATGCGGGTTCTAATATCACGACGATGAACGCAAAATACAGATATTTATTTTTCAATTTATTATTGAAACTCAGGTTTATAACTTAATTTCTGTAGGACCTTTACATTTTTTTTTTGAAATGAACTTCTTTCGAAACAGTGCATATGTGGTTAAAGTTTGTCGGATAAGCTGCGTAAACACTCTGTATTCAGGTATACAGAAAGCGTTTGACACAATCAACCATTCCTTATTACTACATAAATGATCAAACCTTGGATTTTCTGAAAATCTACTCTCGCTCCTCCACTCATACTCAGGGGTCCCCAGGGGTCTAACTTTTGACCTTTACTATTTTTAATCTTAATTAATTATTTGAGATTGAATGTCATCATTTATTGTTCGCTGATGGTTTAAAAATTCATAATAGTATCGTAACTGCCATTTTCCTGAAAATAATTTGGAAAATATCAATTCATGGCGTTCTAAAAGCCTCCTCACACTAAATCTGTCAAAATGTAGAGTAGTAACATATAGAAACTACAGTATTAATCAGGTAAGGTAAATAAATAACATTACATCGTCTACTTTCCGAATGCTAGGGTACTGTGTTAGAAACTGGTCAGGTTTCTCGAATACTGAAACTATCAAGCTTCTTTATCTAACGTACGTCAGAAGCAAGCTTGAAAATGCTTCACTTATCTAGGCACCTATTTATCAAAACTTCATCAGCAGATTGAAATT